TTAACCTTGTCACCATCAAATACCCTAGTCGTACACGAGGCAACTATTTTGTTTCTCATATCGGGACTTGAGAAGACGCCGGTGGCCGCTTTGCCCCAGGGTATGGGGCAAAGTGGCCAATATGCATAGGTTTAAAGTTTTGTCAATATCTTTCATATGTGAACGCGTTTGGAAATAAAACGCAGTTGAAATAAAAGGCAACTTAATAGGGATCACATTGGTATAGAAAGAATCTTTCTAAGTTTAAAAATGAAGCGTTGGCATCGTGAGAAGCGTTAGGGTGGCCGCTTTGCCCCACTCTCCCCTACTATTATCTTGCGGGTTTGATGAAAATGAACTCTCCAGGAGGTAGTAAAAAAGTTTTGAGTGCAAATCTGACCCAACAACATTCCTTAGTTTAAGGTCTTATGGGGCTCCAACTTTCGGAGAAAAAACTTCTGAACAGTAGAAAAACGGTGTAGCTAAGGGTGGATGACCATTGACTATTAGAGTCAATAGTCAATGGTCATCCACCCTATTGCCCATTTTACCCTCTTTGTCGAATATGAACATTCAAGACAGGCGGCAACCCACACATCGTTAGACGGCGAATGACAAGTGCATTGCGGCACAGCATCCATGTAATGCGGCACAGTATATCTGTAAACTCAAATTTTCTCCGTGTAACCAGCAGGCAGCAATATCTGAGATTCTGACAGTAGGTGCCTTACCTACTGATTAAGGTGATGTTGATGATTATTTGGTTTTTTAGGACGCACCAACAACGAGGCTATATGGCGCCCATCTACTGCTTTAGGTATATTTAACCCTCGCATGTGTAGGGGGGGGGGGTCGAATGGACCCCCCCCATGGTTTTTCGCGAATAACTCGCGTAAAAAGCGGCCGATCGCGACGAAACTTTCAGTACCCTCGCATTAATCAATTTTACACCTACCCTGAAAATTTCATGACCCTGACCCAAATGACCTTTGACCTGTGACCTCTTTTCCGAGACCATGTTTGGCCGGAATCGCGATTTCGCGTATGTCGGCTCGCATTAGCCGCGCGTTTGCAAGCTTTTCGTGGTTTCAAACGTTCAAACATGTGATTTGATGTTGCTTCCATACATTAGGGTGGGTGTCAAGGTCACCTGAAGGTCAGGTCAGGTCATTGACCTTTGGTGTCCTCGGATGACCTCGGTTCACTTTTTCGAGTTTTTCATGTTTCTAGGCTAGTTTTTGGAGCTGAATTCGAATTTAGCAACCATTTGAACATTTACGAAGTAGTTTTGGCGACTTCGTAACATGTTACGAAGCTGTCAGAGGCGGTTGACACGTACTACGAATACCTACCCGTCACGACGCCTACTGGTTGACCTGACCTGACCTGACCCGACCTGGTCTAAATGCTTAAAGACATCATCTGTGATCAAAACTAGCACGATATTCGTGATCAGGACCCCGAAAAACCCCTTAGCAGCCACACTTTACGACTTTTTAACAGGTCCCGATTTTCCCGACTTTGGGTCATTGACCTGACCTGGAAAGTCAACCAATGACCTAGGACCTTAAAATTGGGTATCATCGGCTTCCTCTCGTCACGGGCAACACGCTCGTTTTTTCCGCGAAGCTCTAGCTTGATCAGGGGCCAAACGGCAAGGGGGGGGGTCCAACCGACCCCCCCCCCCCCCCTACACATTAGAAGCTGGCAAACGCCGCACACATGCGAGGGTTAATTCTGCTCACTTATCAAAACTTAATAACTAGAGAGCTCAAACTTGGTATATTGAGTTTCCATGGCTGTGGTTTGTTTTTATTTTGTAACTTGGTCGCATATTAAAGCAAATATTTGTATCTTGCATCACTGACTGACAATTGTTGCCATAATTGTGCTTGATTGTTGAAATTGTGCAGGACAAGTACAACTAACCAGAGCGCGCCTGCCAATCGAGGTCTTCACACGTACCTATACAAAAATAAAATCGGTCTATTTATTGCTGGTTCGCTGAGAACCGGAGACAGTTTGTTATATTTCTGGGTTATCTGGTCTCGCTTGACGAAGACTGTTTGGGCTGGCGGTTCGTGGAATAAATGGTGGCCTCTGTCCAGAGAATTCGCCGTGTGAAATTCTGACGTTACTGTAGGCCATAAAACTCGCTGGCTCCTTCGAGGCCAAATAGAATATAGTTTAACCTCGCATGACGGCTATAAATGAACTTTTTCTCGTTTTAAATAAACTAACGTGTGTTTATGGAGCCAATAAATCGACAGGCACCACTAAATACCAACTGCTCTGTCTGACCGCCAAAAGAAAAAAACTGTTTTAGTGCCAGAAAGAGTTGAACTCCTTGTTGTTGAAGCTCCGTACTTTGCAGCGGTTAGCTACATTTATGGTACGATCACCATAAAATAGCATGTTTTACCTCATGCAAACGGCATGTATGATCCAGTGATTTCTTTTTAATGCTTATGTCAATTTCATTTAATTCTTCGAAAAGGTATAAACGCACCTTCTTACATATTAAACAGTCATGCTTTTATAGCAACGACATTATATTGCTAGATGCAGTTAGCATCTTTTGACGTTGGAACACCTCGGGATTTATCCGCACTCCCGAATAGCATTGATGGATTGGCAAATCTGATTTGTCGTAGCGTTACATTTCTGTGAAAGGAAGGTGGGCTGGAATTCACAGATGAAGTTTGGCACAATGCAGGTGGTGGGATGGACGCCGATACAGTTATACCTAGAATGGAGATGTCTTTCCGGACACCAGTATCGGTGAGATTGCTTTCGTTCTGAATGAAACATAGATACACTTCACAATTAACAAGTAGTTGTAGAAAATGGCAGGATAAACCGCTGATGCCGGACCCGTTGTGAGACGCTGAGGCTTGTTAGCTAAGCTGCAATGTTCCGTTATCAAGGTGAATCGTGAATGGTAGGCAAACAACCTTGTAGTGGCTGGATCGTGGGATAAACGTGCACGCTCGTATGCGTGAGGAAACGCCTTGGAGGCTTTATCATGAATGATGGACAATCTTGAAACCTTTTATTTCCGAGAGGATTATGAAACGATCCTCCCCCTCCCCCCAGAAGTTTTAAGTTATGAAAATACAACTACTTCATGATGACCATACAATGCCTTAAAAATGCAAACTGCGACATAACAACTAGTTTGGTGACTTATCTTGGCACAATGATTCAGCATCAGGATCATCAAATATAACGGTGAGTGTGCATGCATAGGGCAGCTGCATCAGAGACGAGATTTTATCGTTGAGTGGATAAAAGAACGTCGCCGTGACAGGGTGGAGGCGATTTTCTCTGTACACTGTGACCAACTGCACCGAATAATTCCCAGAAATTGGCAGGAAGGATGGGTCGTGGCAATAGCGGCAGGTACGGCCTTGCACTGAGCCACTTTGAATTCATCCGGTCTAGTGCCACAGCAATGCATGTAGAATGCGACGGGAAGGAAATGGAAGAAGCTTTATTTGATTTCAAATAGCGAGAAGCATGACATAATGCAGTTATACCAAAGCATATTCGGGAATTGTTTGCTGCCGGGAAAGATAAAATATCCTGGATTCCTTTTGAAGATATTTTGAGCTCGGCCACGACCTTATGGAATTAAATGATCTGACAGAGCATAGATATTGTGTAATGAAGTTAAGATCTGTAGCACAAAATATGTCTGCAGACTGCAATCTACATCCATTGTTGTGAAGTCAAATTTTATTCCACTTTCCAGTCACATCGAACATGAACAACGGCAGCCCATTATATAAGCTTCGGCGAATAAGATTCGATGGTAATCTTTGTGACCGATAAGATGCTTACACGCAGTTGAATGAAACACGGCAGGGTTAGACCGGTCAACAGTCTCCTGAGCCGTGGCACTGCCCGGGCGCTAAGTCGTCCGCACGCGCAGCTCAGTGCTTCAGAGCCGTCTGTCTAACGGAGAGGCCCCTTCCGGAGTCACGGCCCTCTTCCTGCCGAGAGCTGCGACCCGGGACCGGTCCGAGCTGCGCTGGCGCGGTGCCCGGTCCTGTTCAACACTCGGCTGCGGTCTCCGAACACGGGATCGGTGCCGCTTGAAGGCTCTGATCGCAGCTCCGAGTGCAGCTCTATCCGCATTGCGACTGCGGTCAGACTTCCCTGGCGCTGCGGCGCTGCGGCGGCTATCACAGCCCGGCCGGTCACACCTCCGCCGAATGTCGCAGGGGCGCTCATGTGACACCCACCCTCTGTGGTCAGCACCGGGGACCGGTTCGTGGTCAGCCGGTGACGGAAGCTGACGGCTCGGAAACCGCCGAGCACGCGACCCCGGCAGCCGCGGTTTGAACCGGCGACACCGCGACAGATTAGCACTGGAGTGCATACGGCTCGCCGGCAGTCATACGCCAACTAATCGGCCGCTGCAGGTTGGGACGCGGGACCTTGAGAGCTGCTATTGCCAACGGTGACGGTTACGGCAGGTCTGTCGGAAGCACGAAGAGGGACGATGAAAGCATCTAAACAGGTTTAGAAGCAGACATTTACAAATTCAGCTAGTAATTCGATGTTGCGGTGATAGGAAAATATATTGCTCTTCCTGGAGTTTGGTCGACGATTCCGGCTATTAATCTGCGGCATAGCGATGTCAAGTGAGAGTGTAAACATCTCAGACGTCGTCAACACTGCATAATTTCGGACACTTCCCGTTCGACCCGTTTCACATTAGCATCGCTAATGTGAAACGGGTGACATACCACCGTTATTCGATGCTTTCCTGGCGATAGCTTGTCCTTCCTGTCTCTGTGATTGTTTCGGCTATCCAATGTCTCCTTGCGCCCGAGAGGTGACATAATCCTTTCCCGCACATACCCGGTCACCAGCAAATAGTGCGCTGGTGGAATATGACTCGACGCTGCCTCACCCTGTACGTTTAAATCTCATATTCCTTGTTTGTTGTTTTGTTTCTCCTGTATTTCTTGCGTCTCCTCCTCTGACCCGAGCTGTCTTTTTGCGCCCACCAGGCTCTGTGCTGCTGTTCGCCCCGCTAGCCGCCCTGGGGTACGCCGCCTCAGGGGACCAGGTGGAGAAGAACATCCTTCAGACGCTCAAGCTGCACACGCCGGGAGTCGAGCCTGCCGCCGCCGAGATCATCTTCATCGTCCACCTGCTGACCGCCTTCTTCGTCATCCTGAACCCGTTCGCCCAGCAGATGGAGGCGCTGGCTGGCATCCCACACAGTGCGTCTTTGTCAGGCATGCATTGGGCTTGGGTTTACATCTAATATAGGGACACTAGCTTGGAACATTAACGAATGAGATAAGGAGAGGGAAAGGGACAGTGAGAGGGAGAGGGGGAGAGAGAGGGAGAGAGAGAGAGGGAGAGAGAGAGAGAGAGAGAGAGAGAGAGAGAGAGAGAGAGAGAGAGAGAGAGAGAGAGAGAGAGAGAGAGAGAGAGAGAGAGAGAGAGAGAGAGAGAGAGAGGCAGCTGGAGAGGGAGAGATGAGCACAGTTGTCCAGACGGGGAAGAAATGATGAACGATGTCTTACAAATCGGGGATTATTTAGGGAAAAATAAACACCACGGGGCGACAAACTCGTGGTTGAAGTTGAACGGACATGCATGGTTAGAATCTGGCTGCACAGCGCACTTGCTATAAAAACCCTTGGTGTAAATCTGAGGATTGAGGGTCTTTACTCCCACATCTAAGCCACCTTGTTTGTTAGCTGTTACAATGACACCATGTTCCAGGTATTGAAGTTTAATCCGTCTGGCGACACTTCAGTTAGTATTTGCGTGTGTTTGCGCCTTTGGCCTGCAGAATTCAGCCTGCGGCGGCTGGTGTTCCGTACTGGTCTGATGGGTCTGCTGGTCGTCCTCGGGGAGACGATACCGGACTTTATAGAGCTGATCCAGCTGCTGGGCTCGACGACCATCGCCACGACGGCGTTCATCTTGCCCAGCCTGATGTACATCCTGCTGGCCAGACAGAGCGATCCCGAGGGACGCTGGACCTCTGTGTGAGTGCGGAGACGGAGAGAGAAAGAGAGGAGGGGGATATACTTCGACAGGGGAGGAGTAAAAGGAAAGAAAGAACACGAGAAAGCCAAGAGAACATTAACGATAAAAACCAGTGCGCTACCATCCGTGCATTTTCATTTAAATTAACGTCATGTCTTTTAGCGGCTCTGTGCATTTAAATACCAAGAAAGAACATGATAAGCGATCCCGAATAAGCAATTTTTTTTTATTATGATATGAGTGCATGTACTCAAGGGCTAGATACTGCGAGCTCTGTCCGTAATCTATTTGTGCCGGCGTGTTTCAGACCGGTCCCACTATGGGAGAAGTGCGTCCTGCTGACAATGGCGCTACTCGGGATCGTGGTCGGTATCACTTCCACTGTCATGACGACGCAAGAGATCATCCAGTACGGGCTCGACTCGTCCTGCCTCATCAACACAGGAAGATCGGAGTAGCGCAGCTAAAGAGCCGTGCCGGGTGGTGACCGTCTAAATAACACAGCGGCTTTTGTAGACCACTGTGCCCACGAGAATGGATTTATTGTGTCGTGTCATAAAGCGAATGCCCTTGAAGACACGGGCTTATTTTGCTGGTAAGCGTTCTGGGGATTTCCTGGAGTTGAGCTTCGTAACATCACATACAATGAGAGCTATCCTATTTTCAATGGTGCGATATACCTACCCTACCCATGCCCATGAGATTAAATGACTGGTTGTAAAATGTCACAAATATCTAACTGGAACTTGGAAGATAAGACAATTGCTCAATTGATCAGCGAGCTGAACGCATCGATTTCACCAATGGGTAGATGCAAATAAACGTTTACGTAAGTGATGCGGTCTTTTTCTTAAAGAATACACAATACACAATATACTCAACCCTCCTGCTAAGAACTCGCAACGGCGCCTGTGAGGACCCAACACCAGCGCATCTGACGGCCTTTCAAGTTTCACCGGCACCCATGAGCGCACCACACACCGGTGACTCTGAGGAGCTCGCTCGCTTCGCTCGCTTGTAAAATACCATGCACATTAGGCACACTCCTTGGACATAAATTATATTCTTACTTGCCAATTTTCCACAATTTTTTCTCAGGACAAAGAACGTTTCAAAGAGGTCCGTCTGCCAGTCGGACCGAACCCACTGTTCCCCCCCCCCCCCACTCCCATCGAAAGGTCCTGGATACGTCCCTGCCTGGGCTGACACCGGGCCCCCGGGTGACTCGCGGGCCCGGGGTCAGGTGATCAGCAGGTGACCCCCTCTTGGGCGAAATCCTGGGTACGTGTCTGACGTACATCGTAAATAGTCCTCTTGATTTGATTCATCGGTTAAACATTGAATATAGGTTATAGGTAAGCTGGTTCTCTGGTCTGTGATCTCGCGTCGTATCAGATATAATGACATTCCATGTCGATGTGCCTAAATGAATATGCGAATATGCGTGAAAAAGGAGTGCTGCTCCCGCTCCTACACATCCGGGCCAAACAGTGACCGGCCTCTGCTTCTAGCCACCCGGGGCCGGTCTGCCGGCCGGCAGTCAGTCACTGCCCGGGGCTGATTTCTGAGGGACTTGCAAAAGTGCTTATTAATAATTTAATTAAATGTTTTACGTAATAACTAAGATGATTAGGCACATGTACCGGCTCTGAGTCGCATTTAAATAAAACATGCTAGCGTAAAATACCTATAAGTGTTTTGAAAATCAAGCTGATACCGAAATAATTGTGTTATGCATGACAAAAGCTCATTGCTCCAAACCAACCGAAATGTAACCCCATAGGCCGTTTTTTTGGGGAGGGGGGGGGGGCATAGGCGTCGCCAGAGGTTTTCGGTTGGGGGCAAAATCAACTTTTGTGTTAAAACTTGCCCTTCCCCAGTCTTTACTCACTCGTTTTACATATTCGACGCGCAATGGTGCGAGGAACCCGATGGTGACAAAGGTTTCCTTCTACCTATGACATGTAATTTTTTCACAGAAAAATTCGAAATTTTGAAATTTCATGACAAAAACGACTGGTAGAATTAAAGTATATAGAGGCTGCGATCGCCGACGCACTGCAAAAGGCCCCTGTGCAGACGCTCGACGCTCATGATCATTACCCAGAAAAAGGTGAAAAACGCTCCAATCAATCGGATCACCCTGCTAAAACCTCCATTCACGCATGCATGCAGAGGTTTTACGTGAAATGCATAGGACTTAGGTATCCCAGCCGCCGATCGTAGCTAAGTTGGGCATTCGGCGGAGAGTGAATGTCGGAAGTGTGAATCGGAAGTAATTCATCTTTGCTCCAGTGAGAAGAAGTGTTTTGTTCTCTCGAGTGTGAACAAAAGTTTCTCGTTTTTCGTGTGAAGGGAAGCGCTGCAAACGCGAACAAAAACTGTTAAACGGAACCAAAAGTTACGCACGGCATAGCGGCAATGGATCCCTTAGGTTTGGGACTTCCAGGCCATTTCAGGCCACTCAGGGTCAGTGCTGACTCTCAGAAGCATACTTACTGGCTAGTGGCTACTGCTTAGGATCCTGGAGATCGGCGTGGGTCACCTCAAATATTTACGTGTACGTGGTGCTTTAGGGCTTTCCCAGCCCAAGGTGGGGCCCTCAGAAGCTGCAGTGTGGGCGGCGGGCGCTAAGAGACTACCAGGGTGAGCCTGGAGCCCTCGGATAACAGTGTGAGCCCTCGGGGTCTGTGTCGAATCCCTAAGGAGTAAGGACCCTACGTAGGGATATAATAAACATGTGTTGCGGACCTCAGAGGGACACGTTATAGAGATCAACCTAGGATACCCCCAAATATAGTTTTCTCACTGGTTTTAGGCCACTTATTTTTCATCCCTTGGCTTAAAAAAAAAACATTTGCAAAAAAGTACGGTATTCCGTCTCAAAGTTGTGGGGGCACCGCCCCCACGGCCCTAGAGTTGGGGGGGGGGGGGCAAGCTGCCCCCACTGCCCCCCGGCTCCCGCACCTATGGTTCTATGTCATGTCCCCAATCCATGTCCCACGGGTCCCCGGCTCACTGCCGGTCAATCGGCCAGCCAGTAAAATAAAACGTGGTGGGTGGTTACCTTGCAGCTTTGCTATTTCCTGTCAATTTCCCATTTTCATGCATTTCAACTAGCAGATACATTATTAAATATATTGTGATTATTCAAAAACGTCCAGAAAAGACAGTTTTCTGGCTAATTAAGCTCTAAGGTACCAGCAACTTTTCATATATTTAATACGATATCCAACAGTTCTAATTAGTAGCAGCTTGCTTTTAGCAACAGCTGCCGGGCGCCAAAAATAGCGAGCCACATATGCCTAAATTCGCTGCTTTTGTTTTTACAGCATCGCGCCCTGTGTGGTTGCCGGTGGAAGAGCGTAGATAGCTGGTTTCGGAAGATTTAATTTAGGAAAGTACCTTGCTAAAAGAAGCAGTTGGCAAAATGTCCGAACGAGAAGAAGAAAGTCCCACTCCAATGGAGTCGGAGAATCAGTCGGTATGTGGAAAGTTGTCAGGCTGCCTTTCTGCTTCTCAATTATTGTATTCCATGATTCGGTCCTTAAATGTTTCAATAAATAAATTATGGTCATTTATAAACTCATGCCTCAGCTGTCAGAAATAAGATAATGGGATGTGTTGCAACATGGCATGCTGTTTGATCTTGGGCTAAGGCAAAGTGCTTTTTCCAAACCAATTTTTCACCTGAATTCTGGAATTGTCACTATCATCTAGGGCCCTGTTCGAGTGCTCTGTGGCTGTTACGGCTGGGGCCGGTGGAGGAGCCTAATTTTGGTTAGGTCAACCTGCAGCTTGGGTTGAACATGTTGGCAGCTGCGGCTGTTGACAAACATGAAGTAGGTAGTTGCGAGTTGTTTTGAACAAAGATGCTGTAGGTAAAACTTTATGTACCTAATGGCTATGCAATGACTTATATACTTTTGTTCGTACCATTTTTAATTATTTGTTTCTTTATTGCAAAACAGAATCAATGCCAACTTCAGTAGGCGGAACTATGGTCATGAGTACCCAAATATAGGAACGTTCCCATTTTTGGGAACGGAGTTCCCAAATATGGGAACGGGCGTTCCCATTTATGAGAACGGAAGGCAATTTTTCGGCCGTTCTCCCACTAAAACTCAAAAGTGCATCACGTCTCAAAAAAGTGCACGCTGATTTAAGTATCTACTAAATCTCCATAAAGTTATCTTTAATCTGACCGTGGAACAAGGAAATTGACCGTGGAATGATATTTTTAATGATTTTTTGAAAATGACAGAATGGTGGAAATATGGGTTATACGACATTTAACATGCAATTTTAAGGAAAATGAAGCATTTTTTAGTTTGAGGTAAAGTATAATAATTTTCGCCTGGTTATGAACTTTCATACTATCGACACCAGATGCTGACAAATGCAAGCGAAGACGCGGACGGTCCCGAGGTAATATTGTTGACTTTTGTGTCGGGGCGGACGACCGCGTGGAACGTGAGTGAATTTACCGAGCTACTGTTGTAAACTCAGTTTAAGCGGTTGAAAATTATCCAGCTGTATTTTATCATCCCGGAAAGACATATTTTATTTGGATGCTAGCTGTTTAGAGTTGTTTTATAAGGAGCGTCATGAGCGCGGTTTTTGTCTTCCGTGTTTCTAAGCGTGATCGTTTTGGGGGAATTTCTCTTATATAGCTCGCTCTGTGTGGCTTATTTATAATTTTTATGCTGATTTCGATAATTCCTCGTGCCCATCCTACCAGGCCTTTTGCCACTTACACTCATCAAGAAAGGAAAAAACTAGATTTTCATTGGGACTAGGTGTTTTGAGGGTGTGACATATTCAGCGTTCCCATTTTTGGATACTTCCTTGTACTCGTCAACTATCGGTGATAAACAGACAGGTGCTTGACATGTCTCCACCCTCAGCGCGGACGGTGGATATAGGTATGGAAGACCTTGTTGAACATCGCTGAGCGTTGTGAATTACGTAATCCTGTAGAGGGGGGCGTGCCCGCTGCGAGATCGACGGGAATAAAAGCGCAGAAGACCGGGCGAAACATGCGACGGTCTTGCCGGAAAGGTCATCTGATGATTGTTGCGTTAACAATAATTTGCGGCGTTGCACGTGATGCTTGTTAATGAAAAGAGCCCCTGAAAGGCGTCGGTGAAATCGTTCCCAATTTTGGGTACGCCGTTCCCATAATAAGGAACGCTTGCAGCGCCAGTGTACGAGAGCGTTCCCAAATTTGGGCTCGCGGCCCGGATGATGGACTGCTTTAGAAATAGGGGAACGATTTGAAACTACGATGGGCCTTACAATATCAAACTCTTTCCCAACAATATTGAGACAAATATCAGGCGGTTCACGATCGTTTTATATTTTTTGGACGTCATTTAACGGTTCTTTTTCTTGTTTTAAATAATGCCTACATGGCGTTCCCATATTTGGGTTTATCGTTCCCAAACATGGGAACGAAAATGCGTTCCCGAAAATGGGTACGCTTGACCATAGTTCCGCCTACTGACTTACACTGACACAAAGAGTGAAATCCACAATATTTTGTCTCACTTGCACAGTTTATGTCAGTGTCCCTGCGGCTGGTCTCAAGCTGCTGCGGGGGCTGTAGGAAGTGTGATGTTATACTCAGAATGCGATTCTTGTCTGCTTGGTCTCTAGCTAAGCCCCACCTTGTTTACCTACTGCTGGATCCATGGGACCGCAGACGCTAGAACAGGGCCCAGGACTTGAGTGATTTGTATTACTGATGGCATGATAATATGACCAACATTTTAAAGGTTAAAACTAAATGCCTGTTTAGATGGTCAATAAGTTCTTTTGTGGGGTTGATGAATAAGTAATTTTTGCATTTTTGTTCTATAGAATTGCAATTCATGACTATCAAAAGCAACCAGAATTTCAGACAGCAACTCAGATTGCAGACAAGTTAGTTGCTTTTACATAGGGTTTGTTCTGAGGCTTTAGATTTGCCTGAAATATCACAGAATATGCAAATGGAACTTACAAGAAACAAAATGATTTCATTCAACAGTTTGAAGAGCACTGCATCAAAATTATGGCAGAATACTTGAGCCAGAGACTCACTGAAATCCCTATGCAGCCAGCCATGTTGTATTCATCATGTTAACATTTTTGACTTTTGACAAACATGTGGCATAAGATGTGCTATTTCTGTGACTGCTCAATAACAGTTTAATTCAAAGAAAATGCTCTAAAACATGGCCAACTTTGTCTCTTCTAAGATCGATCCCATTGTGTGCAGTCCTCATGAGTCTATCTGTCACTGATGACCCAAATGTTTGTCCTTTGTCCCCATTGTCCTCCCATTGTCTTCCCATACACACATAATCTCAGAATTGAAGACCTCTAATCTGGAATGTATCAGCCAGACAGCAAACATTGAAATAGGCAACACTTCCTGTATTCACTGCCCTTCCATGTCACTGACAAGTAAGTAATGTATTTTCCAACCTTTTGTTCTGTTTCAGAATGCATCATCAGAAAAAGGAAGCGACACCTATGAAATTTCTAGGGTAAGTGTTTTATGTTTGTTGAAATTTTAAAGATAACTTATTGTCAGTCTGATTGTGCTTAAATGTTTAGGCATAGACCTGTTTTATCAAAGTTTATTTCGGAAGTTGCACACCTTATTTGTGTGTGACACACTCGTTTTACATTGCCAGGAAAAGGATCGTTCCAAGAGGTTCGACTTCTTGCTCAAACAGACGGAGATTTTCGCCCATTTCATGTCTGCATCGGGCAAGCACAAGCCGTCGTCACCGCTCAAAGTCAAACCGGGCCGGCCCAAGAAGCAGACGTCGGAGGTGCAAGATGGAGAGTAAGTATTCCAGCATGCCAATTAGGAGACATTAGTATAAGAACCGACCGATCTCTGTATGTTATCGGCAAAAAGCTGATGCAATCGAGCAGGTGGATTGGCTCGAAGTTAATTCTCAGGGCGGACGAGCTATAACGGTCGTGTCATGTGCTATTACGGGCTATGCTCATTTAACGTCAGGTCGAATAGCCAAATAGCTGACTTGTATTAGGCCGAATCGTTTCATCGCCGTTTTATTTATATTTCAACATCAGTTCTGCCAACACGTCCTACTATACTTAACAGGGCTACCGGTGTCGATGGATTTTCGATGACTTAGAGTTCCGACTCTACTCGGGCCTCCAAAAATAAACCCCGACCGACTCTGACTCTAGTCGGTGGCAAAACCATCGACTCTGACTCCGACTGCGGCCAGAATTGTCGACTCCTATCGACTCCGACTCCTCTCTACAGCCCTGAATTAATAGACTCACCGCGGCCCTGTTCTAAAATCCTCACTGATTTCCCTGTCCTCCGTCCCCGGCATGCACTGCTACCGGATGAGGACCAACCCCCCCCCCCCCCACTGTAATCCACCTTCACGGACATCTCCGTACGTCAGCCACCGCCACCGTATGAGGCCCATAACTCTCGTTGACAAATGACACCCCTGTCAGCCTGCCAGTGACACAGTTTTAGGCCTAGAGCCCTCACTGACACCCCTGCCTTCTGTCTTCACAGCCATCGCCATCGGATGACCGAACAGGACGAGGATGAGGAACTTTTGGCTGCCTCCAGCAAGGGCACCAAGGCCATCGTGCGCTTCGACGAGTCGCCTCACTACGTCAAGGGCGGAAAGATGCGAGACTACCAGGTGAGTTGGACGGATCGCCACGCCCCGTGTGGATTGTCCATGACGGTAATACAATACAATACAATACAATACAGAAGTTGCGTGCTAAGAGGGACGGAATTTAGTTAGTGATACCACTCCGGGTTGCCTACTGCTTAGTAACCGTTTGACTGACGTGTAGTTGGGAGGCTTCCTCGACTGTACGGTACTGCGTTGATGCATGAGACCGTGACGTGCATTCTGCGGGCACGATTAAGTGAATAGGACTCGGCTTACGGAATGGCACGGGGATTGTGACGCGTTTCTTGCGGTATACTCCACATATGCTTTTTCTGGTTCTTTTCCGTGTAGCTTTGTCTGCCACCTGGCCCTTGAGTATTATAGTTTTTGTTCCGTTGCACAGTAATCCGATTTTGTAATCCATTTAATGTATGCGCTATGCATGTCTGCGCTGTCCACATATCAAATCTAGGTATTTAACGGCTCGTGGCGTGGTGGTGCAGTGTTCAGACGTGCCTGACGAAGTTTGTTTTAAGTTTTTTGTTTACTTTTCATTTACTGTTTTGATGGGTTTTTAGATTACTGTTGCTAAATTTATTATGTCATTTCTGTTCCGACCACAAGAAACAACTCTGATTTAGGACGTCAGCCTCAGAAGTCTCTAGTCCGTAGGAACTCTGAGGCAGAGCACTAATACGACATCTGCACACACGCGGACAATTTATCAGCACAGGGACGTTAGGGATCGGACAGACTACTGGCACTTTGTGACCACAGATGTGATGGGAAACGCTCGTCGCGCGCCTAGCACGCGCTCCCGGTCAATCAGCAGCGAGTTGGTCTTGATCTGCAGTTCGTCCTCCATCCTATTCTTTCTGCTTAGCAGCGCCGCGATGGTAGCCTCCACGGCAGCCAACTTCTGCTTCAGCTGGTCGATGCTGCCGTACAGGTCTAGCACCTCTCCCTGTAGACGGATCATGGCGTTGTCTCGACACAGCTCCATACAGGGCCGGTGGGTGCGCCGCTCTAGCCGCGTATGCGCCACCTTCAGAGGCGGGCACTTGTCGCCGAGAGCCTTCTGCAGCGCCTGACGGTGCTTCTCCTGGTCGGCCAGTTCCTGGGTCAGCCGCGACAGCTCGGCCTGCATTCTGTTCTTCATGTCGGTGGTCTGCTGGATGCGCTGCGCCAGCGCCTCGTTGGTGTTGTTCCAAGCCTGCCACAGCTCGCCCACAGAGGCACTGACCAGGTTCTCAGCCTCAGCGCGCAGCCGCGAGCTCTCTGCGCGAGCGTTCTGTGAGCGCTGCACCAGCCGGATGGTGAAGTCCAGCCAGGACTCGGGTGTGCTCATCGTCTTGTCCCACTGCTCGATGCCCGGGTACAGGGCGATGCCTGGAGAGTTGTTGTTCAGGCCGTGCGCGTACTTGTCAATGTTGATCGTGGCGAACTTGTCCAGGGCGTCGCGCTCTAGACAGTTCCGGGCGTCTCGCAGCTCCTGAAGCGTCTGCGCTATCCGCTGCAGTAGGCGGCACATTCGCTCTTGGAAGCATTTGATTACCTCAACCTCACGATTTAGGCCGATCTCGACGCAGTCGTGGACTAGGTCGATGCCCATCCGCTGCTCTCGTGCGTATAAGCTTTCTTGATCGATTTTGAGGGGATTCTCCAGTTCCCGATTCAAGCATTCGGCCTGACGCTTCGTCTCCTCCATTTTCTGTGTTTCGATGACGTTCATTTCCAGCTCGTGTAATACCTCGTTCCGCCAATAGCTGACGTCGCCTAGCCGCTCGCCAAGTCGCTGGGTCGAGTCGCGCTGCCCAGATGTTGTTAGACAGGTCGTATTTCTCATGGTACGGAGGGCGTCGCACCGCACGTGCTCCCCTACGTTTCTATCTCCCTCAGAGTTGTTGAGGTTATCGAAATTTGTTTGCTGCCAGTCTGCCATGGTGTACTTGCTGTGAAATGTTTTCTGCGGCGTTGCACGAATTGGAGGACATAGCGGATGCTTTCCCAGAGCAGTTCGCTCCCACAGGGAGGTGGCGTTAGCCGGAATGCTGACTCCTGGAGAATATTTGTCGGATGTAACATTACCTCGGAATGAGTAGTCGTAGGGCGATCCAGAATCGAGAGTTCGAACGTTCTCTCCACATCGACAGTCGCCCAGCTGCCTGTGCTCGGTTTTATATGTGGTCGTCATTTTACAAATTGGGTACTACGGGCTATGGTAGCGTACAACGGGCCTAGGCCCGGTTAGAAATTTTGTCAAGTGACTGATGGTCGAATTCGAGTTCGTAAACAGAGACTTCGTTGGAGTTGAGCTGTCTTCTTTTGTCGTAAAAATTGTCAGTTGAAAAATTATGCTGGCGAATGCGCGTGCTATGCTTTTTGTGAAGCTCCGTCAATAATTCAACGTGGTCTTTTCATCAACAGGGCGATATTTCATTGATTGTTTCACATTTTCAGTGTAGTTTTTTTAGTAAGTTAACTAAAATTAACATATTTTGGAACCTAACACGCATATGCATGCATACATGAATGCGCTTTCCTGTTGTGTTGCGTGCTCGAAAAAAAAATCAAGTTTTAACTGCGTTTGAAGTAAAACAAAAGTGTCTTATAAACTTATTGGGACACTTTTTTCCTGCTTCTTTGCAGATTCGTGGCCTGAACTGGATGATTGGTCTCTACGAGAACGGCATCAACGGTATCCTGGCTGACGAGATGGGTCTGGGAAAAACGCTGCAGACCATCTCCCTGCTCGGGTAAGTAATTTCGGATCCATCTCAGATCGGTCTTATCGACCTCTTCTTGTCAACATGTCGCTTTGGCCAGTCATCTCGACTAATTTCGGTGTATGCGACAATCATTAAGATTATCTTTTACTGCACGTAACAACACCCTCCCATCATTTTCAAAGTTATGAGCCACCGCCGAGCTTCTTCCCAAGTCTGATTATCTCGCAATTGTTTTGTCGTGGTCGTGCGAGTTTCTTATTTATTCATACTGTGATAAACTGATAACGTCTTGTTTGTTTCTCTGTCGCATTTTGTTTACTTCTCGGCATACTGGGCAGTTGGCAACACGTGTAACTCTATCCGCTTTTCACTGAAATCGTCTCCCGTTGTTCCTAAACTTCGCAACACTTCGTGAGTGATATAACGTCCCTCCCACCTTTTCCCAACCGCAGATACATGAAGCACTACCGCAACGTGCACGGACCTCACATGGTGATTGTGCCCAAGTCGACGCTGGCCAACTGGCGTAACGAGTTCGTCCGCTGGGTGCCCTCCATGCGCGTGGTTTGCCTCATCGGAGACCAGGAGACCAGGGTATGCGGAAACTGTCTATTGTGTAGATGTCTTACCATAGTCATATATTTGCAACATGCCGTTTACAAACATTGTAACATGTAACTCGTCATTTGTTATGGTCGTTTCTCATAACTGACAACGAGATGTTTGTAGTTTGCTTAAGGAGCGCAAAAACTGTAACTAGTCTGAGCACAAAAGGTTAAAGAATCATCAAATAGTTGAATATAGCTTTCTGGAATTAGGATATTTGAAGTTTTGTTATATGTGACATTTTCGGGTTTATTTGAGTGCCAGCACTTGTCGGGTCTTTGATTGACTTTAAATTTTTGTTGACGACCGTCGCCCGTGAAAGGCATTCTGACTCCCGGCTCTCCGCCGTGTCCGTTCCGCAGAACGCGTTCATTCGCGACGTCTTGCTGCCGGGCGAATGGGATGTGTGCATCACCTCCTACGAAATGTGCATCAAGGAGAAATCCGTCTTCAAAAAGTTCAACTGGCGCTACATGGTCATCGACGAGGCTCACCGCATCAAGAACGAGAAGTCGCTCCTGTCTCAGATCGTCCGCGAGTTCAAGACGTCGAACCGACTCCTGCTGACGGGAACACCGCTGCAGAACAACCTCCACGAGCTGTGGGCGCTGCTCAACTTCCTGCTGCCCGACGTCTTCAACTCGTCCGAGGACTTCGACGACTGGTTCAACACCAACGAGTGTCTGGGTGACAACTCGCTGGTGGAGCGGCTGCACGCAGTGCTGCGGCCCTTCCTGCTACGCCGTCTCAAACTGGACGTGGAGAAGAGCCTGCTGCCCAAGAAGGAGGTGAAGGTGTTCATCGGCCTCAGCAAGATGCAGCGCGAGTGGTGAGTGGACGAGCGCGACCCGTTTTGCAGTTATGTGGGCTGTTTGTTCAGGGTTCCAACGTCCCAGTTTTGAAGTGCATGGACATAGGACATGGCACTGAACATTGACAAATTTGATTTTCCTTTCGCCCGTCACTGACATATATGACTCGATATTTGGAGACAAATATGTTTCACTTCAATTATCTTGAGTTGATAGTTATTTCGATGTTCACTTCACGTATCTTAAGCTGCGAGAGGAGGCTTGATGGCGTGCGATTACTGACCAACGATGCACTGACTGGCAGGTACACCAAGATCCTGATGAAGGATATTGACATCGTGAACGGTGCCGGTAAGCAGGAGAAGATGCGGCTGCAGAACATCCTGATGCAGCTGCGCAAGTGTTGCAACCACCCGTACCTGTTTGACGGCGCCGAGCCGGGACCGCCCTACACCACCGACTACCATCTGGTGAGTTTGTTAACTATTCACTAGCACTGATAAAGGGTAGGGGTTTGCTGGGGGCCGCCCTACACCACCGACTACCATCTGGTAAGCTATAGATAGAGTATAGTAACTCACCTAATAACTCTGAGGGTGGGTCTGGGGCCGCCCTGCAACACCGATTACTATGTAGTTGGTCAACAGTAAACACTGCTCAGGGTACTCTGGGTAGCGGTTAACTTAGACCATCTTCACATCGCTTAATTTTTTGTCACTCTTGGTGATTGATGAAAAGCAGGTGAATCTAGTGATTGTTGGACACTTGACTAGCTATGTTAGTGCCACAATTGGTTGGTTAACCCTCGCCGGACCTATTGGTTTTCTACATACGCGCCGGCCGAGGGGGGGGGGGCGGGTACGACCCCCCCCTCGCCGTTTCGCCCCTGGTGGAGCTAGCGCGTCGCGGAAAAAACGAGCGTGTGCGCCGTTACGAGACGCAGAGATTGGTACCCAATTTTAAGGTCCTAGGTCAACCGGTGACCTCTGAGGTCAGGTCAAGTGCCCCAGGGTACGGTTCAGTTTTTGGTGAATAACTTCGCAAAAAACGGCCACAGAGCCGCGATTTTGGCAGCATCGTGTTCGCCTCGCTCAGGCGCGTCGAATGATATACTTTATGTCCGGGTCAGGTCAACTTGGGATGTTGACCTCAGGTCAAGGTCAGGTCAGCACCCCCAGGTCACGAAGTTGGTCGAAAGGGGTCATGTCGCATGTCATTCGATTCGGCAGGTCTTCCTGAGTCCATTGGTGGCTTTCTCGACTCGCTAGCTCAATTTGATCAAGAGTTATTGACGAAAAACTAATATGACCTTGATGACGTCATAAATGACGTCACGCAAGGTCAACATTGCAAAAGTGACGCATCTGACCTTGCAAAGAGTGCATCAAATCACGATTCTGTGTGCTTGAGATAGTTGGAGATCGTTCCCGGCGCCAGAATAGCAGTTTTCATTTTTCCCCATTGACTTATAATGGTGAGGTCACGAAAATGACCTGACCTCATATGACCTTTAGGAAAAATCCGAGATATACAAGTTGTGAGACTCATAATGGATACTAGATCCTGCAAGTTTCATTTCCCTGTGACATCTCCTCTGGCAGTGAGGGCGTTGCGAAGTTGCGACATCTGAAGACCGTGCAGAGGTTCACTTATGACGTCATAGGTCAGTGACCTGACCTAACCCAAAAATGCGGTTGGTGTCAAAAGATGCGGCTTGGATCAAAGGTCAGGTATGCCAAGTTTCAGCTCTCTATCGCCAGCGTGTTCGGCGCTATCGCGAAAAAACCCTGCCCCCCCCCCCCCCTCGGCCGGCGAGGGTTAAACCAGCCACTAGCCAAAACGGCAAACTTTGCCGACTGCCCAGGTATTATTACCGTGGTGCGACGCACACATCTGAATGCCATGTACCCTGATCGAACCCTTCTTTTCGTCCAGGTGGAGAACAGCGGCAAGATGGTGGTGCTGCACAAGCTGCTGCCCAAGCTGCAGGAGCAGGGCTCGCGCGTGCTCATCTTCTCCCAGATGACCCGCATGCTGGACATCCTCGAGGACTACTGCTTCTGGAAGGGCTTCTCGGTACGTGTCGACTATAACGCTTATCAAGTCGATTGATAATGGAGAGGACACCGCCCTTATGAAGCTAGTTAGCAAAAGGGGACAATTTAGGCCCCAATAAACAAGGTGTTTCTACTTCTGAATATTTCCAATGTACTGGGTGGGAATCAATAGTGCAATCACTCGGTTCCTACTACTGATTCCCGGGTACACATTTAGGTACATGTGTATTGTGTAGCGTATTCTCCTCTGCAGCTCTCGTAGCATTGTTTCAGTCTTATGGCTTTCCGATCTCTGTTCCACTTTTTGATGTCAGCCGCGGATATTGTCGCTGACCTCAGTCGTTTTTCTGTCTCCAGTACTGCCGTATCGACGGTCAGACGGCCCACGAGGACCGGCAGCGGCAGATCGACGAGTACAACGCGCCCGGCTCCTCCAAGTTCATCTTCATGTTGTCGACGCGCGCCGGCGGTCTGGGTATCAACCTGGCCACTGCCGATATTGTGCTGCTGTACGACAGCGACTGGAACCCGCAGATGGACCTGCAGGCGATGGTGAGCGAGATAGGTGGATGGGGAGGGGGGGGGTAGTCAGGGTGGGAGAATGGTGCGATGGGTGGGATTGGGAGGGAGAAGGGTGGAGTGGCGATCGAGTGGGGCGTAGAGGGAGCTGGGACTTCTTGCCAATTTATGGACGTAAACAGGAAACACTTGTCAGTGCAGAGAATATGCTTACAGATGTCAGTTTGATTTGGCTATGTCGGATTTCAGAGACGCTGGCTTGACATATTTATTGGCCATTGACTGCTCGCATATAATATTCTGGACTGTTCCGTCAATTAGTGGACTGTTGTGTCATCCAGTCACCCCGAGTTGCGTCATAAGGTCGCCGCTTCTGCACTTAGCGCCGTCAGCCGGAGTGCCTACGTATAACTAGCCCTCACCCTCCCCCTGTCCCACAGGACCGAGCTCATCGTATCGGCCAGACCAAGCAGGTCAAGGTGTTCCGCTTCATCGAGGAGAACACCGTCGAAGAGAAAATCATCGAGAAGGCAGAGATCAAACTGCGTCTCGACAAAATGGTCATCCAGCAGGGTCGCCTGGCCGACAGCAAAACCAACGCGCTTAACAAGGACGAGATGCTGGGCATGATCCGATACGGTGCCAACCACATCTTCGCCTCCAAGGATTCTGAGATCACCGATGAGGACATTGATGAGATTTTGAAGAAGGGAGAGGAAAAGGTACGTTGTCTGGCTTCTAAGAGACGGTTGGTGATGTGTGAAAGTCAGCTCAGTTCTTGTTAGACTGTGTGATTATTGTTGTTGCTTGAAGCATGAGAAAGCGAGTGTATTTTGGTCTGCAGATTTCATGGGAACGTCTTCCGGTCATGTGGTTTGTTGTTTGTGCCGGTGTTGCGCGAACTGCGTGTTTGTTTTGTTTCATTTCGGCTGTCTACTGCGTACATCGTGAGTGGTGGACGATCACCCGTCTCAGTCTGGCCTTGGCCTCACCCTATAGCCGTCTGACTTCTTGGTAACTAACCAGGCACCCCTGATGTTTCATGGACCGTCTTGGTACTCCGTGGCCCTGATCTCTGCCTGATTGGCTGCACGGCCTGTCCCGTGCACAATGTTGTCAGTGTACCTTTTATAGTTACCTAGTCAGTAGTCAGTGATATGTATTTTGACGCGGTTATCTGACTCTGCCTCGGCAGACGGAGGAGCTGAACGAGAAACTCAGCAAACTGGGTGAGGAGAACCTGCGCAAATTCACTCTGGACACGTCTGAGGACCAATCGCTGTACAACTTCGAGGGCGAGAACTACCGTGACAAGCAAAAGAACGTGGCCGGCATGTGGATTGAGCCGCCGAAGCGCGAGCGCAAGGCCAACTATGCGGTGGACGCGTACTTCAAGGAGGCGCTGCGGCAGGGCGAGACGGCCACACCCAAGGCGCCCAAGGTGGGAACGAGAGGAGGGGACATATCCTCATCGGCCGGATGGGGACCGGGGAGGGGGAGGGGGTAATGGGTGAAGGCAGGAGGAGGCTGGGCTATGAGGTGATCAGGTGGGAGGGGTTGAAGGTTGGGGGGGGGGGGCGATCATTTGAGGGGAGTGTTCTGTGATATGCTAGTAATAGGTTACGGGTGAAGCAGCTTGGTATTTTGCTACGTACTCAGATTTGAAGAGTACCGCACTTTATCGTGTTTTTCTCTGAGACTTGCATTTGCATTAAAAATGTGCCAACATTTTATCTTATTGGGGCTACAGTTAATCACAGCTAGTTTCAACTCTACCAGTCAATATTGCTCGTTGACTAAGCAGTTACTTTCTGTTGCAGGCGCCGCGTCCGCCCAAGCAGCCTCAGGTGCAGGACTTCCAGTTCTTCCCTCCTCGGCTCTTCGAACTGCTTGACCAGGAGATCTACCACTTCAGAAAGACACTCGGATACAAGGTTAGTACCCATGCGACACACCCGCGCAACGGCTCTCGTGTAACTCGACATGTCTCTGCCTACACCTGAATAGTGTTTCAACTTCCAAGACGTGAACGATTGTACAGGCTTTTTCCCGCTGCACTTTGCCCCGCCGTTGCGGTTGCGCCGCGGATACTTTTGAAGTAAACAACCCCTCTGTGAGCTCCCCACTTTCCTCACTATCCCTTTGCCCGTTTTTGTACGTCCGCAGGTGCCGCCTAACCACGACGACCCCTCGGTGGACGTGGCGGAGGAACAGAGGAAGATTGACGAGGCAGACGCGCTCACTGAGGAGGACCAGGCTGAGAAGGAGGCGCTACTCACAAAGGTGCGTACGTCATGCTTACGAGTTGCATCTAATTCCAGTCAAAATTAGCTGGAAGTTAGGTCATGCTGTTTGCCCTGCTGGCTATTTATTTCGACATTATTTTATATTAATAAGGTAATCACGAAGGTATCTGTCTAGTCTGCTGAAGTTTGTAGATATTCATGAGGAACCTACTGGAAAGTCTTCACTGTCGTGTGCCATATACAAACATTATACAGACATGGCTGATTTTGTCGTGTTGCAGGGTTTCGTCAACTGGTCCAAACGAGATTTCAACCAGTTCATCAAGGCCAATGAGAAGTACGGCCGCGATGACATCGAGAGCATCTCCAGAGACGTTGAAGGTGAGCTGTCATTCATGCTTCATCGGACTGTTGTTGCCAGTGCCTGGAGAAACATGTTCATCCAGCGTAAAGCAAGCTTTTCTAGGCCAGTTTTCATGCCAGCAGCATTGCTTATGTTACGAATTCACATATTTTTGTCAGTGCTTTAAACGTTATTTTAGTTCCAGGCGATAATTTCAGTTCTGTTCCTCTGAAAGTGCCCTAAACATTTTTAGTTTCTTCTGAACAAAATGTGTTATTTCACGTGGCTTTTCTCGCGGAGCATAATTTATACGTTTTGACCTTTTTTAAGGTCAGACGCAAAAATACTTTCATCTGTTTTGGCTGTTTTCAGGATGTTTTTTGTTAGTTATTAATTTGTTTTATTTACGCGTCAGTCTAACTTAAAATACATGTCAAGACGAATGATTGAGCGTCTAATATTGCGTCCGCAATATACATGAAAGTATTTTTTTGATGCGTTAGTACGCCGTGTTAAAGGGACCCTCCCACCTTAACATTAGATTTGAGTTGAGATAGCCAAAATGGGGTCCCTGGCTCACAATTACCGGTTTCGGCACTCACAACATCGAGAAATGCCTTAAATCGGAAATATTGAATTTCAAAATTGCAGCATTTTGATTCAGAGGGGCTAATGCATAGGAATACCCCTCTGAATGTGTGACGTCATCGCAGATATCTAACGATTTTTTAATGTTTGACTAAAACGTTTTGTAGCACGCGGTGGTATATGCTGCTTTGCGCGCAACAAATGCCGCACTTTCAAATAAAGTCGCTAGGAACAGCGGAGATCCCAAAAAGTAAACAAAAGTAAAAGTCTAATATCTTGAAAACCGGTGAATATTTTTCGATGAAATTTGGTAGATATTCGTTTTTGCTCTTTCTGAACCGAGCGACATCACTTTCATGCCAATTCATTAACTTTTTTGAAAGTGGGAGGGTCCCTTTAACGTATTCGAATAGTGTGAAGCATAATCGAGCTTGCAACGTGCATTGGTTAACGTAATCGAATCGTTACAATGCTAACATAAACTGAAACATGGTCGAACATGAAAGACGCATTCATAACGTAACGTAAGTGAAGTATCGTCACTGCGGTCCGATTGGATACGTATTTGTAGATTTGTTATGGCAACTCGAACGCCGGTTCCTACCCCGAGACGGAGCCACAGAACCAGACGGCCTCCGAAACGCTACGAAGATGGCATAGTGGATCTGCCTACGATGGAAAACATCCATCAGAGAATAACTGACGATGAAGATCGCGCAAGCGAAACAACTTCAGCGATCACCAGCGTGTCAGCAACCTCTCGTTGCTCTGTGCTCTCCGCTAGAGCTGCGGCACTCCGTGTGGAGCGCCTGCGTCAAGAACATGAGCTACAGAGGCGCAGTGAAGAAGCCGCGCGCGCTCTAGAGCTGCACAGAGCGTGCAGCGAGCTCGAGCTGGCTACCCTCGCGGAGAAGGAGCTGGGTCAGGCCCGTCAGGAACGTGCCACGCGAACTGACCTCGAGTCGCCTCAACCAGCTCATCTACCGGCGGCGCTTGTCCCGCCTCGTCCTGAGCGTGAACAAAACGATGCCGAGCTGGAGCAATGTCAAACTGAACAGCTCGCTTGTACGAATCAGCAATCACCTACAGCTGCTCCCGTGGTCACTGCTCCGACGCACGTGACGATCAGCAGGCCTCCAAAGATGGATATTCTCGCCTTCGACGGCCGTGCTGAGAGATATCCGTTTTTCAAGATGCAGGTGAACGAAGCCCGTGATAGCGGCAACTTCACAGACCTCCAGATCACGCAACATCTGCGCGAGAGACTCCGAGGAGAGGCATTTGAGGCCGTGCACGGGACGCTCCTCTCGGGAGGCTCTCTTAGTCGGATCCTACACGTGCTGGAGAGCCGCTTCGGTAATCCGTTCTTGATCACGCACGCTGTAACTGAAAAGGTGATGAATCGTCCGAAGGTGCGCAGCAACGATGTGAGAGATTTAAGTCAGTTCTGTGCCGACATATACAACACATTATCGATTTTAGAGGCGGTCGGCTACGAGTCTGAGCTGGACAATTACAGCACTCTGTCCACTCTCGTCGAAAAACTCCCTCAAGAGAGTCAGCTGGGATGGGGTGCCTTCGCTCGTGCCCAGATAGAAGCAGGACACCCACTCACCTGCCGGCTGCTGTACGAGTACATAAACTCTCACTTGAAAGACCGACAATTTGGAGCGCCAAAAACACAGCGACCTGAAAAGGCTTCTCGACAGAGGAGCTACGCCACATCTAAAGTGGATGATCCGCAGAAGAAGCGAGAGCAGCGCGCACGCAAAACGACTGACTGCAATCTCTCTTGCTTCTACTGCAGCAAACCGCACTGGATTGCGCGGTGCGACTCATTCCGTGGACTGAGTGTTGAAGAGAGGTGGCGGTGGACAAAGGCAAACGAGTGCTGTCTACGGTGTCTCAGCACGGAACACAAGACTACGGCTTGTCATCGGATGCAGTCCTGCGGAATCGAAGGATGTCAGGATGAGCATCACCGTCTTCTTCATCGACCGGCTGCCGGCAAAGCTCAGATGGTCGGAGTTTTGTCTGATGGACGCAAGTACGCGACCATGATGAAAACTGTCACAATCGACGTAACAGGACCCAGCAAAACGAGACGCTGTGTCGCATACCTCGACGAGGGCAGCTCCGTCACTCTGATGTCTCAGGCTCTGGCAGACGAGATAGGGTGCCAGGGACGACAGCAGTGCCTCAGAATGAAAACGATGTCAGGCATTTCAGATCAGGAAGCAATGCTAGTTGACGTCAAAGTCGGAAACGTGAAAACTGGCAAAATTCATCAGTTGAATGATGTCTTTGTCATCTCGACTCTGGAACTGGACAAAAATCCTGTGCCGATGAAAACCATGGAGAGAAAGTTTCATCTGGTGAAACAGCTGAACTTACCTGACATCGATGAAGAGCCCCAGATCTTGATCGGACTCGATAATGCTGAACTGATCTCGACGCGGGAGCTGTTGAGAACGACCAAGAATGGACCCATCCTGCAGAGAACTGAGCTGGGCTGGACCGTCACCGGTCGAGTCGTGACGGCCACTGATGTGTCACGCCAGTCAGTGCAGTTCATCCGTGAAGGAGTGAGCCGCGAACTAGATGATCTAGTGAAGTCTACATGGACGACAGAATCATTTGGCTGTAAGTTTCAGCGGAACGATGCGTACAGTCCAGAAGATCAGGCAGCCGAGCAGATCCTGGACAAAGAAGTGCACCACGACGGAATCCGTTGGACGGCACCACTGCTTCGAAAGAATGGTGCTGAAACGCTTCCTGAGAGCCGGAAAATGGCGGAGAAAAGAGCGATATCTTTCGAACGCAAGCTGGATCGCTCTGCAAAAAACGAAGTCGAAGGGCAGCCGACGTTTGCTAAGATGTGCTACGAGCGCATCGACAAAATGGAAAGCGATGGTCACATACGAAAACTGTCGACAGAAGAAGCAGCGCAAGAGCCACCGAACACGTGGTACCTACCGCTTCTTGCGGTGACCAACGCAAACAAGCCTAACAAGGTCAGACTTGTGCTGGACGCCGCAGCTAGAAGCCACGGCAAATGTCTAAATGACTTTCTCATGCGAGGACCGGACTACTTCAATTCGATTCCTGGCATTCTCCTTCGCTGGCGAGAAAAGCCAATCGGAATCACTTCGGACGTGGTCGCAATGTTCAGCCAAATTCAGGTGGAGCCGTCAGACCGAGCCAGTCTTCGTTTTCTCTGGCGCGGTCGACGTCGTGAAGGACCATTCGATACGTATGAATCGAATACGGTCATCTTCGGGTCCAAGTCGTCCCCCAGTACGGCTGGGTACTGCTTTCGAAAGACGGGTCAACTGTTTGGCAAAGATAACCATGATGTTGTAGCCGCCATCCTCCATGACACCTACGTCGATGACGTTATCACTGGCGCTGAGACCAGCGAGAAGGCGTCAGCCCTCATCCGGGACCTCACATCTACCCTCAGATGTGGAGGCTTCGAGCTCGGACCGTGGGCATCAAATTCATCAGAGGTTCTTGAAGCTCTCCAACCTGTGCTTCGTGCCTCCGGAGACGTCAGTCTCGGCGATAAAAGCATGGCACAACGGGCCTTGGGAATAATATGGACCCCAGAAACTGATGAAATCATCTACAAGGCCAAGCCGGCACCAGAAACAGTCACAAAACGGACAGTGCTCTCTCATGTCATGTCCGTCTTCGATCCTCTCGGTTTCCTGTCCGGGTGGCTACTCACTGTGCGGGTTCTGCTGCAACAGCTGTGGAAGCAGGAGCTTGGCTGGGACACTCCGATTCCCGACCAGTGGGAGAAACCGTATCAAGATTGGACGCGAGAGCTCGAACAAATCAACCAGATCCGAATCCCAAGACACATGTTTGATCATGAGGCCGGCATCGACAGCGTTGAAGTGCATGTTTTTTGCGACGCCAGCCAAAAGGGATTTTGTGCTGTACTCTACTATCGGTGGATACAGGAGAATCATTTCAGAGTCAGCTTCGTGGCCGCGAGGTCGCGTGTAGCTCCGGCAAAGACGCTCACGATCCCTCGGCTAGAGCTACAGGCCGCCGTTTTGGCAACAAGACTAGCAGAGACCGTGAAGCTGGAAACTCGACTAAAAGTGACAAAAACCACTCTCTGGTCAGATTCCAGAAACGTCCTGGCATGGATTAAAGCAGACGACCGCCGATATCACGTGTTCGTCGCAAACAGAGTCACTGAAATTCGTGAGTCGACCAGCCCTGACCAGTGGCGCTATGTGCCGTCAGAGCTAAACGCTGCAGACGGCGGTTCACGAGGCCACGCCCTCGAAGATCTTCGAGGAAATGGTCCATGGATGTCTGGCCCCGATTTCCTCCGTACCCCGGAAGAGGAGTGGCTTTGGGACAGCACGACATCAGTCGCAGAGACGCTGCGGAACGACCCAGAAACGAAACTGGTGTGTGCGTCATCTGCCAAAACAAGCACAGACGTTCGACAGGCCATGCCAGACCCAGCGCGTTTTTCACGCTGGTCAGTCGCCGTCCGCACTGTTGCGGTGATCCTGCGCTGGAGAAACATCGCCTTGAAACGTAAGCGAGAAGAAGCCGCCGAGTTCAGCGAAGCTGAGACGATGTGGATGAAGCTGGTCCAGAGGGAGAAGTACGCCTCTGATTTACAGGACATGCAGAGAGGCGTGCCGTTACCAAGCACGAGCGCCTTGAACGGCTTCTCTCCGGTGCTGAAGGACGGACTGATCTGCTTCGACACTCGAACGAAGCGCTGCCCTCACATCGATAACACAGCTCGGTATCCACCGATCCTGCCTCGTGACCACCCGTATACACAACTTCTGATACAGCATCTGCATGAAAAAATGGGTCACAGAGCACATGACGCGGTGTTGGTGGAGCTCCGACAGAGGTGCTGGGTGCCTCAAGCCGCTCGAGAAATTCGAAAAGTGGCCGCAAGGTGCCAGACTTGTCAGAACCGCAAAGTTCAGCCATGCCAACCCAAGATGGCTCCGCTGCCGACGCCGAGGGTCTCAATGCTAGGAGGTGCCTTTTTGGCAACTGGTATGGACTATTTTGGTCCTCTACACGCTGTCCAAGGACGGACCACTATGAAGCTGTGGGGAGTTATATTTCGATGCTTCGCTACAAGGGCCGTTCATCTCGAACTCGCGGATCGGCTCGACACAGACAGCGCCCTCCTGGTTATATCTCGTTTCCAGGCCAGACGCGGCAACGTAAAGGAGATGTGGTCAGACAATGGCACAAACTTTAAGGGAGCAAGCAAAGAACTGGACGCAGCTCTCCGAAGTATTGACCAGAAAACGATGAAGGAGAAGTTGGGCATTGAAGGCATCAAGTGGCGCTTCAATCCACCTGGTGATCCAGAAGCCGGAGGAGTGTGGGAAAGGCACATCCGGACAGTGAAGCAGACCCTGAGTGCTTTGCTGAATCAGCAGAAGCCGAGGTATGAAGTCCTCGCGACACTTCTCTGCGAGGTAGAGGTGATGAATTCAACACCACTATTCCATGTTCCAGTGGATCCATACGACGAAGATGTTTTGACCCCTTATCACTTCCTTATTGGAAGAGCCACCCCGTCGTACCCGGTGGGAATCAATGGCCACGTGAAGTGTCTAAGAAAGCGGTGGCAGCAGGCTCAGCGGCTGGCTGATCACTTCTGGAAAAGATGGGTACGCGAGTACCTTCCGACACTGGCAAAACGTACCAAGTGGAGAAGGGAGGTTAGCAGCGTCAAGGTGGGGGATGTCGTCATCATCGTCGATCATCGGCATCCCAGAGGACTCTGGCCACGAGGAATCGTGGAGAGGGTCTACGTGGGTGGAGACGGCATCGTGCGCTCCGCCATCATCAAAACCGCTCACGGAAGGCTGCACCGGTCCGTGAGGAAGCTGGCTGTCCTGAACGTCTTGAAGAGGCCTGTACCAGACTGATGGTGGTGCAAAGATGATGCTGAGGGCAAAGCTAGCGAAAGCTGAGAATGTGAGACTGACAGGGCCATCAATCGACGTGGCACTTCTAACGCCTCGAGATGCTGTCGAGGCTGTAAATATATCGTGCGACGTGTGATATGTGAATCGTTGTGATGTTCTAGACGCGTTGGTCTAGAGAGGCCGGGATGTTACGAATTCACATATTTTTGTCAGTGCTTTAAACGTTATTTTAGTTCCAGGCGATAATTTCAGTTCTGTTCCTCTGAAAGTGCCCTAAACATTTTTAGTTTCTTCTGAACAGAATGTGCTATTTCACGTGGCTTTTCTCGCGGAGCATAATTTATACGTTTTGACCTTTTTTAAGGTCAGACGCAAAAATACTTTCATCTGTTTTGGCTGTTTTCAGGATGTTTTTTGTTAGTTATTAATTTGTTTTATTTACGCGTCAGTCTAACTTAAAATACATGTCAAGACGAATGATTGAGCGTCTAATATTGCGTCCGCAATAGCTTATTTCGATATAAATGCTTGCCTTGTTCCTGCCTAGTTTTTAACATCAGCGAGTTCGAATAAATTGCGTCGTTAAATGAGTAATGAAAAGGTAGCGTTCATGTCAACATCTGTTACCAATCAATCTGCGAAACACTTTGTACGCTAACCGCTCCCACTCTCGTCCTGCCCCGTCTGTATTCAGGCAAGACGCCAGAGGAGGTGCTGGAATACTCGTCCGTCTTCTGGGAGCGCTGCAATGAGCTGCAGGACGTGGAGAAGATCATGGCGCAGATCGAGCGAGGCGAGGCCAAGATCCAGCGGCGCGCCGGCATCAAGAAGGCTCTGGACGCCAAGATGGCGCGCTACCGGGCGCCCTTCCACCAGATGCGTATCTCGTACGGCACCAACAAGGGCAAAAACTACACAGAGGAGGAGGATAGGTTCCTGGTGTGCATGCTGCACAAGCTCGGCTTTGACAAGGAGAATGTGTATGAGGAGCTGCGGGCTGCCGTTAGGTAAGGATGCAGGATAAACGGGACGGGTGGGGCATCTGGGGCGAAAGGGTGAACGACCTAATAGGTCACTGTGTTAGCAGCTGTTTAAACAGACGCAAACAGACGCAAGGAAAGAAAATTAGTAGACGAAAGCGAGGGTCTAATTTCACAGACATTCGGGTCCCGCCGTCAGGCCCGCAGCGTGGGTGGGCCGAGGCCATAGACCCCGGAACGATATCGTGTTTCTCTCAAGGCGGATATTTCCAGTTGCTGTGCCTGTTTCTTCGGTGGGCGGCGGTCGGGCGGTAGACGTTGACGTCATGTCTGATAGCGTGCCAAATGAAACTGATCTTCACGCCCACGCTCATTAACCCTCGCCCGTAAACGGCGATCTGCCACCTTCGCCCATGCAGGGGGGGGGGGGGTTGGTGCGACCCCCCCCCTTGGCGTTTGAAAACGGAGCGTCGTAGAGCTTAGCGGAAAAGACCAACGGATTGCTCTCGCCGAGATCTCGCGATTGGTGGTATATTTTTTGGTCCTAGGTCAACATTTGACCTACTTTTGACCGGTCAAAGGTCAAATTTTCGGAAACATAGACTTTTTCAACTTTCCGCGGCGATTGCGGCAAAATGGTGGGAGATATCGATTTGAAACCTTCACTATCGTATTCCTTGATCAATTCTCTATCGTTTGGTATGTATTTCGTTTCCCTAGCTCTAAAAATGGCGCGTTGGGAGCGCCGGAAGTCGGCAAGGTCACAGTCGGTGGCAGAAATTCGAAAAATCAAAATTTAAATTTTTGAAATCTGATTGTATTTTTGGATTTGGAAGGTCCATTTGCTCCCTATAGAAGCTAATATTGCTGCATATTCCCATTGAGGTGACAAGAATTAGCAAAATAGTGGTTCGGGCGCTTTTCAAAAATAGTACCGGACGCTGTTCCTCTTGTGACGTCATAGCTCCGTGACCTGACCTAACCCGGTCAAGTTTCTTATACCATATGATAGCCAATACTTGCCCCAACATGCATGGGAAGTTTCATCAGGATCCATCAACCGATGTCCGTACCACCGGCAGAAAACCTCGGGCGTTGGCACTCAGTTTGTGAAAATCCGGCCGGAGGCTGTTCCCTTTGTGACGTCATAACTCCGTGACCTGACATGACCCGGTCAATTTTTTTTTTATCAAAAGATGCGCAAGGTTTGCCCCATAAGGTACCCAAAATTTGGCGGCGCTGCGCGCCGCCGTTTTTGCACTATTTCCGAAAAACCTCAGGGGGGGGGGTTGCACCAACCCCCCCCCCCTACATGGGCGAGGGTTAAGTCACTGTTTGCTGAGTGTTGGGATTTACCAATACGCCGTCTATTGTGTTGAGGGAAGTGTTGAGCGGTTAGGATTTCAGTTGTGTACGATTGTCCTCCCTCTCCTCCCTCCATTCAGTCCCTGGTCCGGTGGAAACTAATCTCTCGCTCTGTCCGCTCGCAGGACGGCACCCCAGTTCCGGTTCGACTGGTTCATCAAATCTCGCACGGCTATGGAACTGCAGCGTCGCTGCAACACCCTCATCACCCTCATCGAGCGCGAGAACCAAGAGCTCGAGGAGCGCGAGCGTACCGACAAAAAGGCTCGCCGGCCCAAGTCGAGCGGCCGCGCGGAGAAACGCAAGGAGCCGCCCGGCACACCAGACAGCAAGGCAGCCGCCAAGGGCAGGAAGAAGGGTCGGGTCTGAGCGCAGTCGCCGTCCCAGGAGCGGCCGCCGCGGCACGTCAGCCTAGCTTAGACATTCCGGTGAGCGCTGCCCGACCGCGCCGGTCCGGAGAGCACGGTGTGGCGGGGTGTAAATCGCTCATCTTCGCAGTCACTGCTGATTGGCAGACAGCCAAAATTGACCCGTGTTGTCCTCTATAGGCGGTGTGTGTCGGGAGGGACGGTGATTGTCTCCGTGACCGTGTATCGTGACCGTGACTCCGCTGTGTCTCGCTGTGGATTTCCCCGTCCGTGGGGCGCTGTGTCTATCGTGACCCGTCGTGACCTCTGTCCGCCCCGCGTCTCCGCCGTGACCTGTCTGCTGCCTCCCGCCGCGCGGTCGCTCGCTCACCGTCAGCCCTGGTCTCATATGTATTTTAGTGTCACACTCATGCCTGTCTCGCTCGTCTTGCCTCCTCTCATCGGCAGACTTTGGGCTGTCGGACCGCCCGGGCCGAGAGACGGAGATGACAATACATGCTGTCCAGAACACACGACCGTCTCTATAACTAAACTCGTACAACACTCGGGAGTACGCGCGGAGTGAAATTAAAATACGCTTCGTATATAAGATAAAGACATGCATACAAAATGTGTCTGTAAAAACTAAACTTGCTACACAGCCGAGGGGCGTCATGCATAACACATTTAACTGGTTTAATAATACAGACAAGACGCGAGTATTTGCACAAATGCGCGAGAACAGAGTCACAGACTGATACGCATTGGATTAAACAATATCACACATTCTAACTATAACATACCCATGATAGATTGTGGACGTAAAAAAGGCAAAATGGCTGATAAACACCAAATGTTTGTCAAGAGGATGGCGTCGGCCAGAATTAATTTGCTCGATTTTTTTTCGGTAACGTCTAGCACAAAAGTTGAATTACTAAAAGTTTGTTGGATATGACTATGAGATTCATCAAACGGGGCAAGACAGCCGCTACACATCCACAGGGACGGCATATATAAGCAATGACTTGGGTTATGATCGAAGGCACATTTTCGCATTGGGGCTAAACGTTGAAACGTTACCAATCAATAGCAAATAAGCTTAGATACCTAGATCCGGCTCGGAGACGCGGACCGCGGGTAGCCGGTAGTTAACAAGGCATAATTTTCACTGGTAGGTACCATCGAAACGCTGCGAATGCCTGTGAAGTGTGAATTGAACAACAATCGGGCAATATTACTGGACTATTACGACACGACTCCTACAGTTCAACAAGCTCCAGTATCGGGGATTCACTTCACGTTTCTGTCTGGATCTTCATCAAACTCATCACAGACCCAGCAATGACGCTTTCAAAGGCACGAGTAATTGAGGCATCTGCAGCGTTTGTTGGTTGACCGGCAGCTACACGGTCGACTAACTACACCAGCCCGAAGCCCTGAGAGTAGTCGATGGCCTTTAGGAGCATTCGGCGCAGTTTGGAGATGGAGCGGTACTCGGGCAGCAGCAGGACGTTGAAACACGTGTGTGCGGAAGGTAGCCTGTGAAGAAAGAGCATGGCCAGTTCGTCAGATGATAAAGGGGATCGGGATCGCAAGCCGATCCAGCACAACCATACGATTGAAAATACCTAATCTGTGGTCTTACGAATACTTGTTGATAATGGACATTAAGAGACATTCTGATAATTGCGATAACTGCGCCTATCCACTGCAGCTGCTCGCCGCATGACACTACGTTCGGAACAGCGTCAAAGATGCAACCGGTGCTTCAACGCCTCATCAAATACGACTCAGTCAACAGTCATGAAATAGCTGCCGTGCTTTCGTCTAAAGTTATCCCTCCATGTAGCAACTTGCAGAGGACTTCTACGCATCAGCGAGTAGCTCTCTCCATAACAACATTTCAGGCTGACGTAACTCGCTACCATGTGACTGATCAGCTGCCTTCTGTGACAGGCGGGCAGTCAAAACTAGCCAAAAACGAGCCAACTTTACCCGGCGTTTGTTTATTTTGCCATGTCGCTCCGTCAACCTGACAGGTAAATGGTTACAGCGAGAGCCAAAATACCGACGGTGTTTTTATCCGCGTTCCAGGTTTTTATGTAACCTACAGGCTACAGAGTCCCTTTTTAGGAGCTTCAGCAGACATCTGTCATGCCCGTGGACTCGCCGGTTAATTTGTCTAAACAGAACCGAACGGGATCGAGTTCGAATGGCAGCTTTTTAATGAAATCGTGTGAATGAACGACAGCTTTTCTTTTCTTGTGGTAATAAAATTATTTTTAACTTTTGGAGCTCATCCATCTCTGAAGCTCGCACTGCTCCGCGTATGTGTTTCTAAGTACAGCATTTGATCCGCCAGCACCCATCCCCTCTCCTCCCAGTCAAGATTTCGGAGGTGTGCGGTGTGGTCAACAGTCAACACCACTCCCTAGTCACGTCCACCCCTCCTCCCGTCATCCCATCTCTCACCTATCCGAGTCAGGTCCCTGCCGGGTGACCACCAGTCGCAGCTGCCTCAGGCCACCGACCGGGGCCCGGTCCGAGCCAGTGATAAACTCCAGTAATCGACGCCGCTGCTCCTCAGTCAGCTGGCGCACCACGCGCCAAAAGTGGCGCACCACCGGCGTATCGCGCGTGTAGCCGTCGTACTCGGCTGCTGCTTCCAGCTGAGAGAAGTCGTACTCCTAGGGAGGGGAAGAGTGTAGGTTGGTGAGATGATTAGCGACAGCATGTGAGAAGTAACACAGTAATAGACAAGTACGGGACAAACAGGGCAAGTAATGGATCGAAGTCTGATGTATTTCTTTAACAAATGACACAAGACCCTTTGGAGGAGGAAGAGGAAGGGAGGAGGTGAAGGAGGGATAGAGGAAGAGAGAAGGGGTGCGTCACATTCGTGTTCCTAATCAATCTTCCTGGTCCAAATACTCCACAAACTAGGTCAAGAATATCCCACTGGGCGCTGACATGAGGGAAATTCTCGGTCAAGGTTATCCCGCAAACTACCGCTATAAATTCGCGAGAAATACGCACAAACTAGCGTTTATTTTTGTTTTCTGGCTGCTGACAGCTCACCCTGACGATAGGAGCCACATCTCCCGGGACATTACTAAACCAACAGCCATGCATCCTCTGCCATCACATGGAGCCTCCACTGTTCGTCTAAATTTAGAACCATCTCTAACCGAACGCTAGAACCTCAGGCGGAGCAGAGGTGGCCGCCCGACCGTACCTGGCTGCCGCAGAGGAGCAGTTCCGCCTCCTCAGCCCTGAACAGGGACCAGAGTGGCGTCTCGTCTGTCACCAGTTGAAATCCTCTCCGGAACGCACGGAACGCGCGACGCACAGACTTGTTCAGCAGAAAGTCGGCGTAACGATCAGCGAAGTCCTGTGGTGGAGTAGGTCAGGTCAGCTCAGGTCAAAGACAAATTATAAGTTGCGAGCAAGCAGTAAATAGATGTGAAATGATGCTACAGACCAAGCATGGAATATGAGCAAATAAATATTTTACATGAACGCCCTGATCCGTGGATACTACAGATTCGAAATCGTTACTTTGAAACCTATTTTACAGTGTCGATAGATAAGTCACTTATAAACAGGCAAGGTAGAGCTATGTTGATGTCATCAGGGTCTGCAGTCCTCAATCATCCATCTGGGCAATGTTTGGTACTAAAGCGTCGCTGAATCACCAGTATAACGCCTTATGGGGCGACTAACGGAGCGAGCGAAAGGGTGGGCCTTGCACGTGCGAAATTTCGAGGGGGTACCTCCAACTGACTTGTGCACGGCACCCTACTAACCGCTCTCTAGCGATGTGCCAAATTTGAGCACAATCGGCTCAGCCGTTCTCGAGATCTGGAAGCGGCACCCTGCACGTGCGCACGTGCAAAATGGGTCCCAACTGACTTGTGCACGGCACCCTACTAACTGGTCCCTAACCGTGTACCAAATTTGAGCGCCATCGGTCCAGCCGTTCTCGAGATCTGGAAACGACCCCTGCACGTGCGCACGTGCAGCAGCACCCCAACCTTAACACATGCAGATGAATTATCTGATGGAGACCTAACTGTGTACCGAGTTTCAATTCAATCGGCCCAGCCGTTGTGCCGTTATTGAGGTTGCAATTTTGGGGGTTCTTAAAAAATGTCCAACTTTACCACGCGCCACGTGCGGTGGTTGGCAAGAACGCATGGTGGCCATCACACCACAGAACTTTTACGTCCAAGTGACATTCAGTAAAGAAGACCGCTTGTCAATCGGATGTCCCGTTCCTAAGATATTAGCTTTTGAAGAGCGTCCCCACGGCCGGCCGGCCGGCCGGCCGCTCATACTCAGGATTTTCCCTTAATTCAGTATGAGACTCCGCTCGCTTCGCTCGCTCCGTAACAAGTCTCATACAAACACAGTCGCCAACCCGACCATTCCAGAACCCATTATCCGATTCCTCCCATCCAATGACTCATTTCTGAGATGGACCGATCACTTCCTAAAATGCCGCGGACGACGGAAGCCGCCCGTCCCATGCCAGCCATTCCGACCTTGTCCGCGTGAATCACATTCTGACTCCCACAGCCCCCTCCACGTGGTGTCGGTATTTTGTTTGGCACCCACCCTCGCCCCCGCTCGGCTATCCCCCGTCCAGACATCTCGTCAGTGAATCCCTGGCGACTGCGGCGGGGGCGGTGATGAGTGAGAACCCAGACCCGGCCTCGGTCACTGACTGTTCCCTCTACTAACCCTCACGTTGTGTCGTCCAACGGTGTGATGCCGTCCGCCCGGGACCAGCTCGTAGCTACGCTGGGCTCCGGTGCCGTCTGTGTACCCGACCTGGAAGGTCTGTACAAACACCTCCTCCAGGTCGTTCCCGGTGTACTCCAACATGGCCGACAGACTCCGGTGCAACGTCTGTGAACGGGAGACGTATTAGGTATTAGAGACTCCGGTTCAACGTCTGTGAACGGGAGGCGTATTAGGAGGCTGATAAGACAGCCGGACACAGGACGTCCGCAGACGCAAGGTTATCCTATCTATAGGAATCTTGAGTTATCCTACGCACGGGTCTGCTCATGACGGTCGTTAGTCCAATGAAAGGCGCCGTTGTGTGCTGACGTCTGGCCCACTTAATAGTCTAGCAAAACAAACAGCACGGGAAACCAAAATAGCATTGACAAACGACGGTGCGGATAAACAAATACACGTTCGGTGAGAGCCTCCATTATCATATAATAATCACTTTATCTATTCAGTCTCCTTCGAGCTTACTACTTCACCTCACACCTTGCCCTCTCCACCTGACATCCCCTCTACATCTATCGCTCTGCCCTCCCCTCTCACCGGACTGAGCTGTTCCAAATCCTCCAGAGCGCCCCGCCGGCCGGCCAGCTTCCTATACGCCACCGCTGGCAGTCGCACGTCCAGTGTAACGCTGTTGTAGATGGCCAGACCCAGTATGAGACCGGCCAGGGAGTACTGGGCGTCTCTCTCTGGAGGACCGCCGCCGGGCCGGAACCAGTGGCAGCGCGTCTCCTCGCTGTACGTGAACAGACCTGGAAGGGTGGAGAACAGAGTGAGAAGGTATGGAGAGGAGGTGCAGAACAAATGAAGAGACCTGGAAGGATGTAACAGGTGGGTAGATACTAGATGCAGAGCTCGACGGATGGAAAACGCATCGAATTGAGTGCGCATTGAACGTGCGTGTGTGGATGAAGACAAGATGATTACGAGTTCTCGGGTTCAGAGCAGACGAGCAGAAGTGGGCCGAGGGTACACCCAGTGGGGAGATGTGGACCGGTGTGCATCAGATCTGAGGTTCAATTCAATGAATTATTATTGTTCATTTTGACACAAGAGCTGAGGTTCGTGGACGGGGCGACAGGTCGCAGACTTTAGTGGGAGACATAAGTATGAACAGCTGCTGAACTGTCAGAGCACACACGTTGTGGGAGTATGATGATAAAGCAGACGGGAAATAAATGGCTCTGGTACCATTCTATCGCATTCAAAACATGTCTAATGAAGAGAACGGCAAATTTAAACAGCTTCAGCAGGCATAAATTTATTAGGTCAGGTAGTGCAGCAAAGCAGAGCAGCGTTTGGACAGCTGCTGCAGCCAATCTCCGCCTCGCAAAAAGCTCGACATCAGACCAATCAACATGTCAGGCAAACTAGACGAGCTTCAAGTTTGCAGCTGCTCTGGGTTACCACACAAAATCCAAGCTAGATTCCGCGATAATGCTAGTCACCATAACACCCCACGGGGCGTCCCCTACCAAGCTTATTCCGAGACCCAACGAAACCCGTGCACTGACCATATTCGGCGCTGAAGAGCCTCTCGACGATCAGCCGGAAGAACTCCTTCGACAGGCCGCCCTCGTCGACGCCCTGTTCTCCGATAAACTGCACGACCAGCTGCTTCTTCAGACTCTCAGGGCTGTCACGGGCGACCGTCTCCAACTGGGCAACAATAGAACAAAATGTTACGGAATAAGAGAAGCACACATGCCATACTTTACATGGTTTTGACAGTAGAGCCCACATCCGTAGCTGAAAAGTTGCCTTTTTGTAGATATTTGATCTTGCAACATATATGTTATAGAGCTGAACGAGGCGCAGCAATAAAACTAAGCTGGCTGGTGCGCAGTATCGCGTCAATCTGAAATTCCAATCTTCACATTCGAAACACACTGACTGTTCTTCAAGCATGACTAACAGACCGTGTCTTTTTCTGCGTAACATCCCAGACTCCCCCAGCAACCACATACCTGGCAGAGGGCGTCCTGCACCAGCCACTGCCTGCGGACACGGAGAGGCAGGTGGGGCAGGGCGGCCGGACCGAGGGACGGGGCACGCAGCACCGCCTGCCGGCCCTCTCGGTACATCCGCACCCGGCTCATGTAGAAGAGTGCCAGTGCGCGCGCAGCAGGCGTCAGCGCGAACGGGTGACGCAGAAGGCAGAATCGATCCGGGTGCTCCTGTGAAATTATCCGGGTGGGGGGAGGGGGGGAGAGGTCAGAACACGATAGGCCTTGAAGGGTCAGGAAATCAGATGGAACAACCGAAGCGGTCTGCGACTCATAGGGTGCAGGGTCAGAGGCTCAAAGAAGACCGAGAGACAGCTGGAGACAGATACTGAGAGGAGAGGAGATGCAAAGGAACAAGTAGAGACCGAAGGATACCTGGTAACGGTCACATAAGTGCAAACCGAGAGTCGAGAACAGAGTTCGGACTGAGGCTAAGGGAAATCGTCAAATGTGTAAAACAAGTTCAGTCGGAGAGGCACCATACGAAGGAACTTGCAGGGATGCAAATCAACATCTGCAGGGAGCACGCAAAGGAGCACAGACAATGAAGGTCACAGAAGTAAAGCAAAAAGATCGGCAGAGCGATGCACCCCAGGTGAGCCTGACAGACACAGAGCCGGCAAAAATCGAGACAGACAGGAGAGAGCAGCTGCATCAGAGTGCACCCAGACAAACAGAAAGACAAAGACGGGCGATTACGGCTCCCTTCGAGCTATTTTTAGTCCCGAGAATAACAGTATAAATGCTGCGGCTGGATAGTGACTTGGAATGAACGCATCTCACCAACATCATCGCGAGCCCTTAAAATGTGCATGCCAAGCCATTGACCTTCATTATCTTACCGACGGTTTTCAGGCAAAGCAAATTTAACCAATAAGCGAATGAGCAAACCGGAACGAGCAAACTAATTCACGGCCCCAGGTGCAGTCGGACACCGGATGTGTCCATCAGACCTGTTCTCTGCTGGCATTCCGTGTCAGCGATGTGTTGTCATTACGTCACAACATAGCGAGGTCTCCACACAAGGTCGAGCAATGACAGGTTCCTTCGCCCTGACCGACAGCCGGGAGGGAGGGGATGACAGACAGATTGACGTGCGGGAGCTGTCATTGGCGCAGATATGGGGGGGGGGGGGCGAGGGTTGATGCCAACTCTGTCCTGTACTTATTACAGAGCCTGGGGGTGATGGGGTTCACCGGGTACGCAGTAGGTTGAGGAGTGTAGAGAGAACCGCTGAGGCGGCTGCTTCCATCATACACAGAGGGCGCGACACATACTAGACGGACAAGTAGCTATCTAGGGCGGATGTGAGTTTGTTTACTAACCTGATACAGTCGGAAGTCGTGGTCGAACTCCACCGCCTCGCTGAGCGGCTCGTTGTGGAACTCCTCCCAGGATACCAGCGGCACGCGACAGTCACTCGGCCGTACCTCCACTTCAGACACAGCAGCTGGGGCAGCGCCTGGAGCCGGCGGCGGCGGCGGGTCGCGCCTGCCGCCACTCAGGCTGGCCCGGTAGAGTAGCCCCAACAGGCGGACGGCAGCCTCCAGTACAGGATCGTCTGTGACCTGGCCGTGCGCGCCGGCCTCCACCACACGCACCGAGATGAGCTGCTGTAGGGTGTGAACCATATGACGGAGCCGCGCCGGCGGACAGCGAGCCCAGAGGCGAACCAGACGCGCCTGGGCGGCCGCCGGTAGCAGCGCCGCCGCGCGACACAGACCCGGCAGCGCCAGCGTCAGGAACTCGGAGCTACCCAGTGCTGGGATCTCCAGCACCAGTGCCACAACGTGGAGGAGGGCTGGGTCGCGGCGCCATCCGTGTTGGCGAGCCGCCAGACTGGCGCACAGGCCGTCCGAAAGGCGACACAGCGCCGCCGCCAGTGCCGCCGTGAACGGGGAGTCGCCTGTGGAGAAGAGTAGGGAGAACACGGGACGGACGCCCTCGAGATCCAGCCGCGGCGCCGGTCCGTCCGAGATCGGCGAGCCACGGGGTCGGAGGAAACTCCGCTTCAGCACGTGCACGTCGGAGAAGATGCGACCGATGGCACGAATCACGTGGCTGTAATCGTGGGCACGTGCGCTGCGCTCCACCACGTGGATCAGCTGCTCGGCACTCCAGGGCGGCTCTTCGGGTCGACAGGGCATCGCTGGCCGGGCCGGGCCTAGCGCCGGGCGGCGGAAGGGGAACGGGCCGGGCATCGCCTCAGCTGACTGCGCCGAACACCGGACGGAAATACCTACAAGGTAGGCGAGTCACAGCGCACCGAAACACACACGGCTGTCTCTTACAGCTGCTACACGACACTGAAACACCAGAACAATGCTCACTATTGTTTGCTACAGGTGGCCTCTTCTTGTTCTCTCATCCAACGACGCACAGGCTCCAGTTACCAGTCCGAAGGCTCACTGCGTCTCAGGCCTCGACAACCCGCGGCGCTGCTCTCTGCCAACTCCACACGTCGCAGTAAGCTTCCCTGGAGCTCGGGCCGCGCCTCTGTGCCTCCGAGACGTGACGTAGCGGGACGTGACGTGGCTCAGACGCCGCTGCCGACCGCTCCTCTCCGTGCCACCACACCACCGCCACTGTGGCCGACAAAGCAGCCGTCGGCGCCGACGAGCGACGAACCAGCGTCGGCGGCCGGATGACGCCGAACCCAGAGCGGAGTCGCTGACACAAAGGTCTGGCTGGGGGCCAGCGTGACGCGCCGCCCCCCGGGCTCCAGAGGGAGGGGCAGCGGCAGAGGCGGCCCGACTCGGGCAGGTGCAGAGGCCGCATCTCCACGGGCCGGGCCGAGCGCCGGAGATGGTTCGACCGCCGCTCCCCGACCAAGCAACCGACCGACGACAGGATGGAAATAGTTCCGATCGGCACAGCGGGACACGCGCCGGCGAATCTCACCCCTGATGAAATGTCTGCCACGCGCCGGGGCGCGATCAGAGGAGCTGAATCTTGCTGATTTTCTGCCGATTTCCACCGTATCCGGTGTCGGCCAGTGGCCGCCGCTGAGAGCCGCCGCCAGAAGCGGCCACGGCTGAGCCGACTGACGCATGTGGCCGGTCACGTGCGCTGGCACCGAACCGGGCCGGACGGAACGGGACAGAAATTCAGCCGGCAAACTGTCGCCCAGATCAGGGATAATTTGATTATTTCGCGACGTCTGCCAGGATAAATAAAACACAGAACAGTGCTTAGCTTCAACCATTAGCGAATTGGATCACTATTAGCTGATTGGATTAATCGCTATCTTCAATTGATGATCAGCAGGTGTTAGATAACCGGCCATCGAAAGTCGATCTCAGTTGAATGTTCGAGCCCATAACGAGGGTGTTGCTGTCAGACCAGTTAATGAACAGAGAATGTGTTGGACAGAATCAGCCAACTTTACCCATTTATACATTATCCAGAGTAGGTTTGCGACCCTGCAAAGGTAAGGGATAGGACGCCACCTACACTTCCGATTTCCCCTCCATACTAAACTGTAATGAACAGGCTAGGAAACCACCAACATGACCCGATTAGCATGACAATGATCAAGTGAAAAGTAGCCGTAAACAGAGATAACACATTTTCAGAATTTATTGAGCTAATTAATGCGGATAACAAGGAAGCTAACAAAAAGGGTCATGATACATTGAGCAAAGGGCACATATATCGCAATCGCACCGTGGATTTTCGGGACTGATCCCAATGGCCCTAAAAAATAAATTCATGATTTACAAGCGAAGCAATGCACTTCTTAATATATTCCTGCCCGGGGCCGGGATGATTCAATAAATGTCACCGAGGTTTTTTAGCGAAAACTCCGAGGGCCGTTAGGCCCGAGGTGATTTTGCTAAAAAAGCGAGGTGACATTTATTGAATTCCCGGCCTTAGGGCTGGAAGGTGTTTCCCATACCTGCCAAAAAGCTCGCAACTATATGATAGTGACGTCAGCAGCCGTGTGGTTCAACGTGTTTAACCACACCCCTTGAACCACACGGCTGGTAATATTAAAGCATTGCATTAAACTTTAAAAAGTGTGATACAGTGCACGTGCCGTTTAAATGCCTGGATGTCTCGATTTAATCATGCAATGTAGCAGGTATGGGAAACGAAGAAAATCCCTTCGCATGAAAAATACGATTCAGGAAAATAGATAGCTTTCATACCCGCTCGAATAACAAGGACATTGCAAATTGCTCTAATGCCATATTTGTGACGGTAAAACACTGCGCTTCTTGTGACCACAACCACAATGGAAGAATGTGCGTTAACAAATACACATCAGACTGGCTGAGCGATCAGCGATGACAAACTCAGGACGAATATTCTAAGAGAGCATTTCGAGCCTGGGCGAATAGAGGCGGCTAGAGCGCTCTCGAAATCCATCGAACGGAGACAGAAGATAAAGTGACGAAGAACTTTTAGAAGGTAGTGTCACGGATCACCTAACGGATCGGCAACTCTCCCCACTTCCCATTGTTATCGGTGTACCCGCGGAGCGGGCTGCCATCTAGCGGCGCGGATATCTTCACTAAGGAGGGGAGCCGGCCGCCCGCCGCAACCAGTGTTAAAAGGCACGGGGAAACGGGTGTGAACGCAACACCCGTCCGTCGTTTCCATCCTCAGGATGTTCAGATCAAGTTCAAATCCTTCTTCTCCACGCAGCAACTCTCGATCCGGACTGGACAGGCAACTTTATCTCATGCGGGCTGCTCCCTTGAAGCGCACCACTGCTCCCTTAGGGAGCACACCCGTAGCCGGGTGCAGAGAGTGCTTGGGGGGCTGGTCGTCCTGTCCATTGGGACGGGCTCAGCCCCGGTGACTCTCTAGGGTGCCTGTCCATACCAATGTTTCCCCCAATTCCTATAATCCTTCCGGCTCTGCAATGGTCTCAATGGACCGAAAGGGCCTAACCCAACAAAACAAAAACAATCAAAGGTTGTGAACGGATTAAATTACAGAGTCTCTCTAACAGCTGGAATGTTACCATAACATGAAAATGTTACATACTTTATTCCCTAATCAGCTGGAGCATGCATAATGATACAAATGTTTCTAGTCATGCTTGAGTTGTATGAGCAAGAAGCACGTCCTCGCAACTTTAACGTCGTTTTTGGCCGTACACGAAGCCACCTTTCCTCATCCGTCTGCCCATAGTACGAGTTCATCCCCTGTTCCTATCTCGATGGTCACAGGCTACCAGTTGGAGTAGATAACATCGGAGCAAATCCAACGAGCTGGCCATTAACGTGACTATAGGTGGATCTCGGCCCCTGTTTCACGATACGACCCTCCCCGCCGCTACAAGGTATTGACACTTAGCCGGTTTCCATTAAGACGTTGGCAACATTGTGAAGTTTGCTTACGTTTCCATAGGAACGGAGGCACCCATACCTGATGATGCTAGGTACTGGGTAGCAGCGTGCTGCTAAACAGTGCTCGTATAGCTTTGGCCCCGAGGCTGGTTTAGCCACGTGTTACATCAGACATCTCAAAATATCTGTGGCTTAGAGCCAGGTCAGGTCATTTTGCACCCTATATATTGCCGCATACTCAATACTCTCTCTCTCTATATGCATAATAATATGTGTAATACTAATAATAATTCAATAAGAGCAAATTGAAAGGCGTCTCATTTGGTCTGGGCGGGTCATCCTTAACACCCTCAAACATCGGGTTACATGTATGTAAACAGTGGAATAAAAACGGTCACCAGCAGTTTTTTACTATAACTTTTGATAGAGACGTGCTAGAGCGATGAAAACACGTCAGATGTGTTCAGCTCGACGATACGGATCGACTGATATGCAGAACAGGGGCGGATCCAGAAAATCTCCAAGGGAGGGGCCATTAGAAACCAGGAGGCCCCCCCATAATCCCACCTGTTGGAGGCCCCATCTTCCCACTTGTTGGGCCCCCCCCCAAAAAAAAAACTGCGTCTATTGAGCTTATCTAGCTGTTCAGGCAACATCTCAACATCTGTGCAGGCTTGGAGGCCCTCTGTGCAGGTTAGGAGGCCCTGTAAAAGTGGTCATCTCTGTGAGTATAAGAGACCTCCAAGTTATGAAAAGCTTTACCAATCTTCTAACAAAGAAGTCTTCTCAGCTAGTCTTCTAAGAAATAACGAAGTGGGTAGGTTAAAAAAAAAACTCATCGGATTTCGGCCACTTTATTTTCAGGAGGCCCCCTTTTCAGCTTTTTAACTTTTTAACTTTTTATTTTATTTTTGAAAAAAAATCGGCCAAGGGGGGGGGCCATGGCCCCCATGGCCCCCCCCTTGTATCCGCGCCTGATGCAGAATGACCCTTTCCGGTCAGGTCATGACCTTGACCTGACGTAAGATTTTCAAAATGACCTTTCAAGGTCAACCTATAGTTCATTCGACGCGTCTCGACGAGAGGAACACGATGCTGGCAAAAGTAATGTCGTGGCTCGTTTGAGTCAAAAGATATTACCGAAAAAAACGTTTTTCGTAAACACGGCTATTTTTGGAGATTTTGCTCTCTGGACGCTAAAACCGTTGACCTGAGGTTAAATCTGTGAATAAAACTCAGAAGGACCTGTGAAAGAGCTATCGAATGCGCTTTTCCGCGCCTCAGTAGTTCTGTTGGTTCCCAAGTTATGCGTCGGATGTTTCGAAAATTGTTGAAATAGACAAAATTTGCCTTTAATGACCTCTGGTGACCCGACCTTTGATCTGACCTAAAAAAATGACCGAAGTATTTCCGCCATTATTTTTACGCTCTTTGGAATGCCGCTTACCCCGTGTGGCTACGTGGCCCAGAAGCCGAGTTAGGGGGGAGGGGGCGGGGTTTCATACACCCTCGGCCCGGCGCGGTTGGTACCGTGTACCGGCCCGGCGTGGGTTTATACTTTATGCAAGTAGGATATTTGTGAAAGTGATAGATTTAATTTAATCGGCAGATGAATATTTATCAAAAATGTACTCATGAAATATATGTAAGAGATGACAGCGATCGGAAAATTACCAATTTAGCGATGGACGCTAGGTCGCCCACGTGGGTATGAAAACAACGATTTTCATGACAAAGGATACGATCTCAAATACTTAACCTGTCTCTAACGATTCTTGCCATTCTCATTTATACCATAGGTATCTTCTGAGCTAGCTGAGAAACCATGTTCCGCAGAAAAATCACTTGATTAGCTCCGACACGACGCCCTCAACACGCACGAGGCCGGCCGCTTCCTTAGTGAAGATAGTTCACCTAAATGCCCACCAGGTGGCAGGGGAGACAGGTCGCGGGGGGAGTTGCCGATCCGTTATGTGATCCGTGGTAGTGTAATAGTAGTTCACGTATCGAATTTTTACTGAAAATGAAATATAAATAGAGAAGTTTGGACAAAAAGGCTGGCCTTATAAACAGCTAATTAGAAACATGAAAACATGAAATCCGCCGAGCACGAGAACATTCATCTCACCTACATCACAGCTGAATACCAGCTCCATCTCCGGAAACTTTGAGAGGAAACAATCAGCTATTACAACATCTGACCGATAGACGCACAGTTACATAAGTAACAACATAAGCATTAGTAACAACAAGGTGGAAAGCAGGAGGAAAACTGTCACATGGTCGACCAAAAGCATGTTGGGTAAAATATTGTTCTTAGTGCTATGCGTCTTGTGCTGTGTTCTATTCTGCTGTGTTCTATGTGACTTCCAACAATTCAATATTTTCAAGTGCTTTCAGAATAATGCGGAATGTCCTTCTTTGGCCAAGCATATAAATAATGAGCTTAAAAAGCAGGCGCAGTGCCATTTTTAATCTATCCCTGAAACAAATTAACTGTCACATGTGATGCAAATGAAAATGATTGATGAGCTGGCGTAACGCAACATGCCTAACATTACACAAAAGCCACGACATAACAGCATACCACAGTCATTTGGTATTACCACGAATCACATGCCCCAGCGACGGTCTGAGACAGGTCGCTGACAACAGTCGCGCAGTCCCACTACCCTCCGCTCGCATTCACGGTTCGCCGCCGGTCGGTTCAGCGGCGCATCAGAGCGGCTATTACCATGGCGCAATCGGCAGCGGTGGGCCAGGCTCTCTGCCAAACAGCGACAACGGCCGGCAGGGCGCGGTCGCCGTCCGCAGCAGCGAAATAGCGCGGACACGAAACGTCACAGCAGGGGGCCGGAACCGACCCGGCCACCGCGCAAGCGGAGGGTGACCGGTGCCGGTAAACGGCTACCCCGCCGCAAGGAGAGTTATGCCTACGTCGAATGATACCTAACTCCCGCCAGTGTGCGGCGACTCAGGAGGAGCGTTTCCCCATCGCCAGCGGCGGGAAAGGGGACTTACCACACCGGAGGTCACCCAGACAGGCGGGAAGCGAACCTCCGCTCACTGTGCCTTGGCCTTGACCTTCTGGGCGGCAGGAGCGGGCGCGGGTGTGAGCAGCTTGAACGGGTCTGTGAAGACCAGCGTGCCGGCGAAGACGAGCAGCGATCCGATCCAGTGTTCGCGGTGGAACGGGTTGGAGAAGTACCAGATGGAGAAGATGAGGCTGATGAACTTCCTCAGCGTGATGACCAGGGTGACCGTCAGTGAGGTGCACGACTCCGTCAAGTGGAACACCGAACTGATGCAGATGTATCTGAGAGATGGCGCGGTTAAGGAAACTAACACAGACGCGTGGGCAAAGACGGGCAAGAAAGTATCTATGATTATTTCAAAATACAGTAATGATGATGATACTTTGGTGTTTGAGAGCGCACCAGCAAAGAGGCTATATGGCGTCCATTTCAAAATGTAGCCAGGAAATTAGTAAAAAAAAAAACACACACACACACACACAATTGAGAAACCTGCATGTATTTTTGAAATTGAAATACTATTACCTACCTTCAGATTTAAAGGAAGTATATTCACAAATAAGCTTAATTAAAGTCCTACATTTCTATTGACGATGCAGGAAAAAACGACGTTTAAATGAAGTTTCTTACATGTTCACACTCAGTAAGAAGTTTCAAGGCAAGAAGTACGTGTTCGTCAAACACTGTCTCGCAATGCTAGCTGTTCCAAGCAGCTAAAAGTGGTTATCCATCGTAGTTAGGTGTATTTTGTACCGAGTGCAGGCGTAAACAACATCATTCAGATTCTCTGAATATAAGGAACGTGACGCACAACAAATTAAGCAGGGAATGCAAGAGACGCTGCGATACGATTCATTCGCAACGGCATTGAATCGGAGGTATATTTCGGCATGACCCGCTACGGCAAGTGACACACATGTCCATTGGACTGTGGAAGCGGCATGAAGCAACAAGCAACGAAACAATAGCAAGCCACCAGCCACCAAGCACCATTTCACTCAATTTTCATTCACCAAACAACAGCACAATACAATGTGGGTTTCAGCTCTCCTTGAAAAACGTAAGAGCATCATTTATGAAACATTTGATTTTCGATTTCACACCAGAAACTATGCAAACTCTCACAGCTTTGTGACAAACTTCAGGTCGGTTCCCAACAGCTGCTTCTCAAGCCAAGCATCGAACTTTGCGCTCAGCTCCGGGGAGAAGTGGTTGTTCCAGTCACCAACCACGCCCTTCCTGATGAACGAACCCTCGCCTTGATTGCACATCTCCTTCGCGAGACCCTCCGTCATGTTCACGTACGGGTTCTTCCGGAAACTATCAATGTGCAAGTGCTGAGCAAGTTTCTCCAGTTCCGCGTCCGAATACGACTTGCCGAGGAACTGAGCGATCCTGCGGAGCTGACCAGGCAGATCACGTTGGAGCTCCTCGTAGAAGATCATGCAGATGTTCGGGTGGTGCCGCAGGTTCCACGCCTCGACGATGCAGGGAACCACCGGCGTCTCAAATATATTCCCGGCCATGTACAGCTCGGCAAACGATTCCAAGTCCTCGACGAAATCGTGGTTCTTCCAGAGACGACAGTGCTTGAAGAAAGACAGACAGGCGTCTTTGGGATTGCGCGCCACGTAGAATGTTTTGCACGTGTCGAGCAGGTCAGGGTTGTTCATCGAGAGAGGTAGATGAGATTTGACGAACTTCGGCGAAGGCCGATTAGGGTCCCCAGACATGGGTGCTGCGCCTTCCAGGGCCTCGGGCTTGGTCGCCATGAGGTTTCCGAAAAAGCCCTTTTCCCAGTCAGCATCATTGATGAGCGGGAAGTCGAGGAAGTTCCACCTGTTGGGCATGAGCGGCTGCGCGGCGCCCTTGTAGTCGAGGTCGTTGGCCAGCAGCCATATCATCTCCTGTGCCCAGGTGTTGCCGTTCTTGGGCGGCGAGACGAGCCAGATGTCGCGCGGATCCAGCGGGTAGTTGTAGGCGGCCTTCAGCTGCTCCTCCGTGGCCGTGCCGCTCAGCTTGAAGCCGAAGTGGTTGGCAGACTGGAAGCCATTCGGGTAGCTGCGGAAGGCGGTGGCGATCCGCTGGTTGGTGGCCTCGTCCAGCTTCCGTAACTTGAACGGGTACTCGTGTTGTCCGGCCATGTTATCAGCCCGCTATCTGTGGAAGAAGCCATTGATCGGCACATACAGGGTGTCCCATAAGTTCGTTCTCACCTAAATTTTACGTTTTTAGGCTCTCTTGCTTAAAGGCACGCTGAAGTTGGTTCGTTACTGAGCTTACGTGGTTGCCATGGCTGGTAGAAATATGCTCCACAATAACTAATTTCTGTAGACAAAATAATTTTTGCTAGAGAGCCCGTTTCCTACACAGACGGCTAACGCCGCAACATAGAGGTCTCCAATACGGGTACGTCTCGGTATTTAGTCAGCACGTGACCATTCGCGACGATTGAGGGTGATTGAGGCCTACCAGTCTGTAGACAATGTCCATCGCTAACTGGACGCACAGTCAGCAAGTGACACCGATGATTTGTCGGGAGTCAATCATTGTAAGTTTATCCTCTTTTTTTGTCAGCTCTCAGGAGTGAGCCATGTGGCCAAAACTGTGTGGCGCCAAAGTGGCCATCAAAAAGGTCAAAGGGTTAGAAAGTTGGTAAGCAGACTTTTCAGGATGGATTACCAGCTGTCTAAGAGTGTTCTTTCGGGATACATAACTCAAGGTGACTTAAGCTTTGCTTACCGGAGGGCTCAAAACAGTCAAAAACGTCTTAAAATGGCCAAACATGAGTTTCGTTATGCCTGAGGCTAAAAAAACTAAAGGGCTGAGGACATCAACCAGGTCATCTGGACTAACTAGTCCACGTTCGAGATGAAACACCCGTCCAAACCCGAAAACAACCCCATAAGGGCGAAGGAGGAGGCCTCCGTTTCGTCCCGTTATGTTCCTATGCGAAAGGCCAAGGTCACGGTATTGTGGGGTTATAGGCGTCCAGACGCTGACCAGGTTGCGATTGGTGTCCCAGAAACAGCTTTGGGAAGCATAATGTTTTTCCAAGAACATCTAGGAGGAGTTTCAACCCTCAAGCTGAACTCGAACCGCGAGTATGAACACATTTATAGAGGAGAAAATGGCATCCGAGAGGTCGTAGGCCCATCTTCAGGCAAGACAGTGCATCAGTGCACAGGTCAAGCCAAGCTTAAAAGCGGTGCAAGGAGACTGTGACAGGCGTTTGTGGCAAGACCACATGCCAGGCACCTCATCGGATCAAAATTTCATAAAAATTTGTTGGTTATGCTGAAAATTAGGCTCGTCGAAGCGTAGCGCTGTTCCAGCCTCGAGGAGCTCACGGCGCATGTCAAGTCAGTCTGGGTTAACTTTAAGCCTGCTATGCAGCCAAACATGCCGGTTGGCATGCCGCAGCATGTGTTCATGTGTTTGTCTATTAAATGGGGAGCACATTGAGGGGTCACAAGTATATCAAACCGCAATGTACTCTGTTTCACATGCAAATATAATGTGAGAACGAACTTATGGGACACCCTGTACGGTGCCGACTCACGTGATCTCAATGGACCTGCAGGTAGCTTATGCTGTTGATGGCTAGTGCCCCATTTATTGCAAATTATGTGGCAATGATAATGTGGCAATCCTGTGGTATAAATAATTACAAACCCTCAAACAAAAACTGTACCGATTACTCCATAAAATGCATTGCTAATCGTAAATACAGATGATAAAAACTCATCTTTTGAATCTGCCTCGAGAACTGATCAATCTCAATCACTAACAATCACCCTCCGTCCAGAATCGCGCCTAAAACGCATAGCCCACAGAGGAAAAAAAAAAAACTCGGGTCGCGTTCGGGCACATAACCGGTCCTCACATCACGGCCTATGGCACACACTGCTATAGCCGGCCGACAGAAAACACCAGCGAATGGTAACACTGTCCCGTCTTCCCCGTCTATCTAACAACAATTCCACTCACGTATTCCTTCCGCCGTGGCGCCCCAACCAGCCGCTGCCTCTCTCTGCACTGAACACCGGGAACCCTGCGCCAGCGCTCAGAACCGGGCCCGCGCCCCGCTGCGCCGCTCCGGCGGTCACGCCTGGCGACGGAGACCGCCGCGGGGCACGGCACTTTCCCTTTCACCCGGCCGGCCGCTGCGGCTTTTACAGAGTGGCTGCCCACATCGATATGAGCTGGATATGGAATGTGATTGGGTATGGAGACGGGACATTTCTTTATTGAAGCCTCAGGTAACAGTTCACAGCTGCAACGGTATTTGCCTAGTACGGCGTCGTGGTGCAGCTAAAATGGGGACCGATAAAATAATGTGGAGACCTATAAGTGTGGGAGCCTCGGTAGGCTAAAATTTGAAGCTCACATACGCCAGCTGATACTGAATTAAGCCTTGACCCTGGGTCTTCAACATCGCGTTCTTATCATCAGGATAAACAGGTGCCAGTTATAACGTGTTTCAGGAACCTTATTGGAGCCCGACCCTTGCAGTAATAAAGCATTGACAGACCACAGCAGTAGACTGCGTTGCAGCGAGTAAAACTCACCTAGGCCGACAGAAGTAATTTTCTCGGATGTTCACCGTAAATCATTATTGCATGGCATTGCGATGATGCGATGGAATTCATCTTTTCATAAACAGTGTATAACTATGCATCGATAACTTACTCAGATCACATGCGGTCCAGGATTACTCCAGCTACTCTGTTTCATTTAGTTTACTTGGTGTTTTTTTTGCGTTTTTTTTTTTAATCTGGCTACGCCACTTCGGGATCAGCAATTGCCCGACACACGGATCGCTAGCTATGCAGAATGCAGATGCAGTGCAAAATTATGCCGCGTTGTCCAGCAATCCTTCTGTGTCCGATGCTATCGTCCCATCAGAGAATATTCGTGCACAGAGTGCATCACCCGCGGCCTGCAGCTAGCATAACAAAGCGGACGAACAAGCGAACCTAACGCTCTAGCGTGCCGAGTCCTCAGTCCCCTGTATAACGAGCTGATAAGATCTCGCCCCATCCGTGCAGCGGTGGTCCACTAAAAACCGGTGAAACAATAGAAAATAAGTCGCCGAAAATAACCTTAGCACGTAGCTAACTACGTGTAGCTCATTGTGCGTAACTACCAGTGATAGTTACGCACAATGAGCGGAACTAATTGGTCCGTGAAACGCGCTGTTAAAAGAACATAACAGAATGTAGTTTATGCAGGACGACCACGTTAAATAGAAGTCAATTAAACACATAAAATTTGACGATGTTTAACAAATCATAAATGTTAAGGCGCAATAACCAAATGTTAACACAACATTGAACGAACTTTAGGCATTTGATTCAATAAACCAATGCGTGAAGCACAAGGGTGATAGAAAAGATTGGATTATAAGTTAAATCAAAACAAACGTAGACGTGCACATTGGCATGAAATACATTCAAACAATGCATTCGAAAAAAAAAAACATCGGAAAAGTAGTAAGTACTCACCAAGGCGTCGACTTCCGCAATCTTGACAGGGATGACTTCATATTTCACATAAAACCTAGCACGAGAGTCTACAGGGTGTAAGCAAGGCCGATGAAATCTGGACCTCTAGAAAAAGGGCGGTAATAAAATAACTACTCTCGAAGCCACTTTGGCCGAGACGCTTGGACGTGTCAATCGTTACCGTACGTCCAAATTTCGTGTTATGAGAAGGCTCAATTAGCCACGGTAGAACAAAGTGTAAATATTCGCGATCGGAGGAAACCAACGGATTGACTTCCGCGCCCGGAAGCCGAGGAATTTGACAAGGGTCCGAGCAAAACAAATCAGAGAAGGAAAATCGCGAACAATTACGTTATGACTAATCTATAAACTAAGGTGCAAGATTATCACTGCTTGAACAGTGTAATAGGTCCGGCGAAGTAGCCAACTTCAATCACTCTCAAATTAGCATGATCGTAAAAAAAAAACTATACAAATCCATGATCGTATTGTTGGACCAGTCAATTCTTATAGACGTACTCCCACCCCCTCCTGACAGCAGACCGTACCCTTCAACGGAGACGAGAGTACAGTACAATAAAGGATACTGGGTGCACACGTTTGCCAGCAGAATGAGCCAGAGCCTCGGCACAGCAATGGGAAGCAGCGGCGCCACCACCGGCTCCGAGGCTGAGAACAGCGCCGCGTGGTGGAGCAAATCGGAACTAAGCATGGCGAACATCGGCAGCGGCAGCACGTGCTGAAACAGAAACACTTGTCAGTGAAACATAAAGGAGGGATAGATATGAACGGACGTTTCAGAAAAAGAGCAATTCGTCGATAAGAGACCTTGACGATGGCGTGTCCCGCTCACAGATCTTCGAACGAAGTCTATGATAATGTAATGCGAAAAAGCCGTAAAATAATATAAAGGTGTTATAAAAAACTAATAAGACTAAGCCCTACAAAATTTTCATCATCAACCGTTCCGTGCTTCTATCCCCAGGATACTGTTCCTTCTCCTCCACGCCGCAACCCCCTCCGGGCTGGACAGGCAACTTTATCTCATGCGGGCTGCTCCCTTGCACCGTGTTTTAACTCTGGCCAAAAACTGGCCAGGACGCGAAATATCGACTATTTTTAAACGTTTTCATTTGGCCACTATCGTGTGCAAAAATGATCAGAGCATCTTTAACGACGGAAACTTTTATTCTCTTTAATTTTGAAAACGTTGAAAATGTACAACAAAGTCAGACAACTCTCAAAAGCTTAACTTCGGCGAACAAACGCAGAAACAGTCGCCTTGCTCCACGTCAACATCTTCGAGCTTTGGATTGACACAACTACATAATTTGGGTACCAAACGATAGCGCGAACTTTTGGCTTTGTAAGGAGTCATAATTTATACAATTATATTGCACATAGGTGTTGCATTTATTGATTTCCGTCAGCCCTTACATTGCCACACTTTTTTGAAAAATGTCAATGTTCTTATAGAGCTACAAAAAATTGTACGCTAGTGTACGGTCTCAGACTACCACCACACTGTGGGTCAAGGATTTGTCTACATGTCCTCAAAATTTCAGCTGCGCCTGAGTGCGCCGGTGTTGGGGGTGAACACTTTTTTGAATGAATCATGTCTGCTCCTGCTGAGCCATGGGACGGGTCCTAGCGTGCGTTAAGGGAAAATGCTAGTACTCCTCGTTCATTCTCTCGTCTGTTGTGACGAGTTGGTGGCCCATGGAAGGTCGCCGACCTGTGTGCGACCTGCCGTACCCTGGGGCGTAATCAGCTGACGGCACGACCCCCCACGACACGTGCCAGTTGCATTTTCATGTGTCGCGAGAAGAAAACAAAGGGTCTCCGGAACCAGAGACCGGGCAATGTCGGTGAATGACAGTTGTTCATTCAAAAACTGCTAGCATTCCTATGAAACATACATTTCTTAAATATTAACATTATTATCGGTGTAATTAATTGTGTATACTTATATATATAGTACCTGGTCTATAACAGGAACTGTCCACCCCATGGCTATTGCAGCAAATTCATAGATGGGCTATGGAGCTGTATGGTCGCTACTCATGCATGCTTGGTAGTTTATAAACATATTTTAGTACCTGATGGAGCGCAATTAAATATTCATTGTGCCCAGTTTGAGATGGGACTGTGAACTGAAAGGTGACTGTATGAGACCTGCCACAGCACGCATCGCTGATCACGATGATCGGCTTTTGATCGTCCATCACCTGTTTGCGTTCGGCAGGGTTACTATCGGCCTCTTCAGTCAGTATTAATACGTTCGATGTAGGTGGTATGGTATCATTAGTGCTGTCCAGTGCATCCACCTCACCTTTATGAAAAAGTGTCCGTTTGCTGCAGTAATACGAGTATATGGCAATGTAGTGCTTTTACGTGCACGTTGCATGGTACATAACGCACCATACAATAGGAATTGGTAAGATGTTTGGGATACATTCTACCATTTCACGTCATGCCATGGCGGATCCAGTGAAGGGCATAGTGGGTATTTGCCCTCCCCATAGCTGAATCGTGTGGGCAAAACTATCCGTTTGTCGCTCCCAAAGCTTTTGGTGATGATAAATACCTACCTATAATACGGCGTCGATGCCTATCTGGACGAAAAGCAGGTCTTTCCGTCACAACCATTCTGAGGGATGGAGCTGACCGCTCGCTGCTTATTATTTAACTCGGTATGCTGATAACAGATGGAACTCCCTGAACTGCACGCATTCATATTGCAGACGTAGTGAAGCGTTGTAAAGTGCGGTGGGTCGGGGTCACCGAATGGGTCGGAAACTTCTGCCCTCTCCAAACGGATTAGCTGGATCTGCCCGTGAGTCATGTGACGTAAAACATACAAGACTCTGGACTTACTAAAGTGGAGACCGGGTTAAAATCAAGTTGATATCAAAATATACGTTTGGAAATGTTTTTGAAATAAATATAAAGATTGTAGGTCCTACATATATGAATAAGTCCTATACCTATTAGAGTATTCAAGGTCACCTGAGGTCATCAACGCTAATTAACAAGGTCATGTCCTCAAACTTGACTTGCCTCGTCGATGAGCCTTGCTCAGACTTGCGATTACTCTAAATTTACAGATACCTAAATGTTCGTGCATTCATAGCTAGAACATGACAATATTTTTATATGTTTCGTGACACTTCTGACGTCATAAACAAGTACATAAGCATCTGGTCCGACACATTTTGCACTTTAAATGATCGGTAGTCTCCAACGTTTCGTTTGAGCCCAAAAACATGTCTGTATCTCATATAGTTTCTTAGTTATGAGCCCTGGCCAGTTTTGGTCCCGAGTTAAAACATAGTGCCTTGGAGCGGCACCGCTGCTCCCGAGGGAGCGCACCCCGTAGCCGGGTGCAGTGAGTACCTTGGGGCTGGGTGGCCTGTCTTTCGGGACGGGCTCAGCCCCGGTGACTCTCTAGGGTGCCTGCCCAGACCAATGTCTCCCCCTATATCCTATCATCCTCCCGGCTCTGAAATGGTCTATTTGGACCGAAAGGGCCTAACACCCCCCCCCCCCCACCCACAAAAAAAATCATCGCTTAAAAAGTAACCCAAAGCATTTTACTGTTCACAACTAGAGCATCCATTTACAGATAGCAAATCGTTCGAAATCTGCACCCAGCGTCATCCACCTGACGACTCACGTTAGCCCTAACACAGCCACCCCGACTCGGCACTTAGCGCGTACCGTGAAGAAGAGGGCCTGCTGCGAGTGTCGACCGTAGTCCCTGTAGAGCACCTCCTGGAAGATGCCGAGCCGGGCCGACAGCAGCAGGGCCGTCACCAACAGCAGCACGCCGTACCACATGTCGGCTGCGCCGTGCTCAGGGGTGGACGGAGTGGTGCTGGTGGTGGTGTCCGCAGTGGTGCTGGTGCCGGGGGCGGAGTCCGCGGCTGCTGGAGGGGGCACTGGTGCCGACTGAGGAGCAGAGACGGGATAGATGTAATGAATCATAGGTCGATCAGAGAAACAAGGAAGGGATGTGTAACTTCAACCGTGACTGCTTTACATATCTGTGATCAAGATGGCAGACAGTGGACCTTCTCAGGAATGATGACCATCCAATGACAAAAGTTAGACAATGGAACCCTATAGTCTGTTTCAGTGAACGGGTCATTACACTCGGAACGTAGACAATCTACTATAAGAATATTTCAAGCATGAGCTGATATCAACTCTCTTTTAAGTTTTCGTTCCCTGAACGCCAACACGCTCACTTCACCAGACTTACTTCACCGAATTCCCTCTCCCTCCAAGACCTCTCACCTTTGAGGCATACGTGCAGAGGATGATACCGATGGTGATGGCCACCACTGAGACGGTCTTGTGACGCGGGTAGTATCGACCCAGCACGATCATACCCATTATCAGGTTGGCCACCAGAGAACCCTGGCGGTGGAGAGGAGGCGGCATGGGTCAGCGACGGCGCCACGACGCTATCCGTGAGCTTAGTGGTCTTAGTGGTCGGTAAAAATGCTGAGAGCGATAGCGGTAAAAATCAGTGAAAGTCATGACTAACTTAGCCTATAATGAATGATCCCGCTCTTAAAAGCGTCGTCCAGACCAAGGCCAGACATTGCATGCAAAACCCACAAGAGTGGGCCAGACATTGACACTGAAATGATTAACTTTCATGCAATCAAAGTGCACACTTACTGGGCAAGGGCGCAAACAATGCTGGAAACAATATGTTTACACTCAACGGTTCCTCAGCTAGATTTCCAAAAGCAGTTCACTGCCGCATCAGTAACGACTAACGACATTCAAACGTAAACAGCTTAGCTGATGTTCGGTCAAACGTTGTGGTAATTAAAAAGTAATTACTAATTTTGGTAGGCATGTGCGGATGACATTTCGCTTGCATGAAAGGTAAATTTCCAGGAAACCTTTGATCATCAACTCTGCATTTGGCGATTGGCAGCTACCAGGAACTGTTCAACAAGTCATTTGCATTGCTGAAATATATGTTGCATGCTGAGACCAGAATTCAGGTTTGAACAGCTGAAAGCACTGAAATGAGCACGTCATATACCAAGGAAACGTATGTCCGAAAAAATGAAGGTAATTATGCAATGAAAACAAGCAACGAATGACATCAGTAAAACGTGATTTCTCTAAGAAACACACGAAAGTAGCGCGCGTTACACGGATGCAGCTAGCGTCGACATATTTCACAACACTCGAAACGTAGTTTCATCAAAGACCGGCAGTCAGCCCTCGGACTTACCGCCTTGAAGATCATGTGAAGAGGCATCGGGATTCCGTATTTCAGCGCGTGGTTGTTGATCACACTCGCAGCGAAGTACAGGCCCACCATCATAAAGTAAGCTCTGGGGAAAAGATCGGTGATATTAAAAAAAATTAACAAAACGTGCTTATCATATCGGAAATATAGTCTGCTGTTAGTCGTGACAAAGCCATTCAGGAACTGTGTTGATGTATTGCTATGAAATGAAAAGTTATTGCAATGTCTTATCATTGCCACTAGCAGAGCCAGTGTTTATTGTTACCGACAGTTGATCCATCAAACAGAAAAAGCAGCACAAGCGTGAACCCCAGATCGGTTACCGTCTCCAGTACTCACTTATACGGGATCTTGGAGGCCACGGTGCCGCATTTCATAGTGAAGACGAAGCCGTGTATGGCAATGACGATGAACTGGGAACAGGTCACCAGGTTCCCACATCCGGGATGCACTCTGAAATGAGACCCGGAAGGTGTCACCGGAGGCACTGCAGTCTGCCGAGCGTCGTCTCATTAACGAACTGAATATTAATCACCCAGCCAATGATGTATGACACCTGGGAATTGAGCGCAGTGTCTTCCGCTTCACGAAAATATGAGCCGGCTGGCGGAGATTAATGAAGGGAATACGTTACCTTTCCTACGCGCCGCCTGCACAGGACGGCGACAAATACCCGGCAGACCCGTCTCAGGCTCAGCTACGGTCTCTGCGCGGACTCGAGTCCAGAGGAGTCAGAGTCAGTGAGGAGTACTCACGTGGTCATCATCTCCAGGGTGACGACGTTGGCCCAGCAGCCGAACATCACCAGGAACATGGCCACCGCCGGATGCATGGTGGAGGGTGGTGTGTGACGCTGGAGGCTCAGTTACCTGCCACAGAGAGTAGTCGATTGTTAAAAGAATGCGAAACGTACCGGAGAAAATGAACAAGCAGATCAGTCAAATGCCACGGAGAAACGCAGAACACACTGGAGTTCGTCATCTTATCAGTCACATGATTCACAGTCGCACGGTTCACAGGAACACAAACCACAATGACCGTCTCCACGTCCTGTCACCTACCAAATGACATCACTCCCACCTCAATAAACACCCTCCAATCACTGAACTGAGCCATCCCACTGAACCGCCCCAGCCACCAGTAGTCAGCACATACACCTGTCTGGCCGGCACCATCGCGCGTCAGTCTATCACTGCCCAACGCCGACCGACCGAACAGCAGTAGGTATACCGAGTTGCATCAGGCCGGTTGCGTCAGCGCAGCGGGCAGACTCAATAAAATGACACGTAATCCGTGGTAGCGGCCAGAATAAAAAAACGGTTGTGGCATCGGTAATGTCGCATTAGTAATATTGATCACAACGCAGGGCGTAAAACTGGTTAGGGCGAACATTCGGTTATGTCTGGCAGGTGGTGGGAAACTTCATAAACGTTGTTTTACAGCGTCTTCATCTGTGCATGCGAAACTCACAAAGTACACCGGTAGTTATCTTTAACAATTAGTGTTTCGAATATATCCGTACATCGAGTATAACGGGCATACCAGTCAGACACGTCACGTTCCGGATATGGAACGTCAAACTGACTACTGAGCCTGAACCAGAGAAAACTGAAAACTACCCGGGCCTGCTCGCGGCCGGGATTGACAATTATGTAATTCACCAACTGATACCTAGCAGCCGTGGTCAGTGACCTGTGTGGCGTCCGGCTTCCGGGACCAATCCAATGATGCATGATCTGATAAAAAATAAAACCGGCATGACTGAGGTTGAAAGTAGGGAACAGTGAGCACACCGGCATCAGACACTACCATTAGATATCAATGCAATTTGGTTTGTGTAAGGAGTAGGTATCTATCATTTGTGTTCTAATAGCTTTTTTAAAATTTAGTCCAAACCTTTTGATGGGAAGGATTCACAAGGACAGAGCCACCGCTAAGCGAAGCTTGTTGCGGTGACCCTGCCATCTACCCTCCGATCGCGCAATTCCAGTTCTATGGCAGAATTTAGAGTCCAAAGTTTAACGTGCGCACATAGCCGCGCACGGCCGGTCCCCTCACTGACTTCACCTGGCTACGGCCTGCCACCAACCGCAACCATACCTGTCAGGAGGCCCATAAATGTCAAGCGCCCGTCGCGCTTCGAACCCGGGCTGTTGTAACCGGGAACGCGTGCTCTCACCACGCGGAGTCCAACGCTCTACCAACTGAGCTACGGGACCGGCTAAACTTTAACTAGATCAATTTGAATTATTTTTTTCTTTCAACCAAGCATTTAGTATTAAGCCTTCACTGCTCTCTTTCTTACATTACAAATTATAGAACTGAATAATGACTATCATATTTGTTACTGGCATTAGCCTGCTCCTAAAATAGCATGTGAATAGTCAGCAGTGTGCAGTGTTCAGTGTGCACCAATGCAGCATTAAACCCAACAGGCCTCTTCCCCTGTCAAATTTCTATAATGATAATCACAGAGACAAGTGAATTTGTAAACAAAGATTATGAAAAACTGAAATCAACACTGGCTAAGGAATGATTATTTAGTACCATTTAGTATTTCTTCAGTATGTATATTGTATGTCACAGTTAAAAAAATACGCCAAACATTTGGCCAGGCTACATTTGCAAAAAAAAAAATGCTTGACAGAGATCAGACAGCCATACTAGGTACGTATGCAGGCTGGGAATACATAGTTCTGGTGAGTCATTATGTGGAAAAGTGTGATAAATGGCACATGATTCATAACTTGTCTTAGTAGAAAAAAAAAACATATGATGAGGCTTAGCAATCTGGGTCACAGAAAGGTCATGGTATTTGGTAAGGCCAGTCCAACTCATGTTGATTGAATATCAATGCTGGCCATTTATTGCAAAATTTGAGCCATCTAGCTGCCTGCACAATGTGTAAATATATTGCAAAGCTTAAGCTTATGGCAAAACAAAAGCATTAAAGGTAGGTCAGTGGAGTTCTGCAACCTTGACACTTGACAGCAGACATGAGCATGAATCCAAGCAGTGGATCACCTACACTCACTCGGTGCACAATTAACTGGTTACTGGCGGCTCTAAATCTCAGAGTTACAACACAAGGTCAAACAGTGATTGGCAAATATGGCTGATTGAAACAGACGCACCAAAAAATGTAAGCAGTACGGTGGTTTAAAATGTCATTATTTTCATTACTTTGTTTATTGTTTTTCTCATTGTGGTTAAGTTATTATCTTAAAATTAAATATCTTTGTTTATTGTAATTAAATTAAATCTTTTAACAATTTTCTTTCAAAGCACCAATCCATTTATTGAATGGCCACCTGATTGTGATGCCCAGAACCTGCAGAAAAGCCATTTTACTATCGCCATTTTCAAGTCACTTCGCCGAATTTAATCAAATAATGCTAATTCCTAGTGGAAAATGGAAGCCTTTTCTCTATGATAAGTGGACGCGATACCGCAAGTACCGGCTTGTTATACCATTTTTCAGCCTTAGTAGTGGGGCTGCATTTACGCCCATATAACGTCATCAAAAGTCCATTTATTGACCAATCATTTTTGGATCTTTGCCTCGTAGTTTCCCCAACTGGTATAGCTTACAAAATCTAGTACCTAATTTATAGCCTACAAGTTTGAAATAATAGGTATTAATAAGAAGTGCCACAATTTTTGTACAAAGGGCAAAAGCTAGTCACTGGCCAACTCCTGTGCATTCATATGTTCATGCATAGATAACAGTAGAACAGTTCCACTGTTATCTATTGCTATGGTTCATGTTTTACCCGCAAAACCAGGACCTTGACCCCCAACCACCCCAACATCGGATTCAGATTGATGTGCATCCTAGCAAAAACCAAGGCAAAAACCGTCAGATGTGAAAAGGAACATCAAAATACAGCATGCTGTTAGGGCCTTCTTTCATAACTTTATCAATATCAATATGAACCCACACAGAACACTCAAACTCAAAACTCCACACTCACCGCACTCACCCAAGGCCGTATAACACTCACCGGCTTCTCAACAAAAATGACACGTAAAATTTTGCGCCGCTTGAATGTCATAATAGAGCATGATTTGTCGTCTGTCTTGGCTGCCAACATGCTGCCAAAACGAAGGGAATACAAAGTTCTCCCTTTTATTTTTTCCTGCCTGAGATCTTCCGTAGTGCAAGGCAATAAAGGTTATAATAAACCGTGTTGCCGCATCCCTTCTGTCGTTCCAATCCTCAGGATAGTAAAAAATTTTCATCCAAGCCTCCACCATTGTTCCGGGCAACTCCGACAACTTTATCCCATGCGAGCAGCTCCTATAGGAGTCCGGCGTAGCCGGTTAACCGTCAGGGGGCTGGGGGGGGGAATGCCCCCCCGTATCTTCGAAACTACTGGATGGATCCGGAAAATTCAAACGGTTTTCGATAGCCCTGTCAAATTTGCCAATAGAAACCAAATTTCATTGACCTCAGGGTCACCGATGACGTCACAGGTCAGGTCAAAGATAAAATGCTTCACCGTTCACGGGTCTTCTAGGGAAAGCGCTATAACACCGAGTAAAACGCATTTTGTCGAGAATCAGCGATAGGGCGTCAGTTGCCTAGTACATATGTTGCTATTAGAATTTAGAGATCACTGGTCATACCAGGTCAGGTCACAGGTCATGTCACCAAGGGCCACCACATGAACCCAACTTTACTAAGGCTGATGGCCAATTTTTCATTTCCAACTCAATGGTGTTGGTTATAAGACCATCAGGTACGGTTTAGGCCACTTTCTGGTAGAGGTCAGGTCAAGGTCATGTCAAAAAGGTCAAATTTCAAAGTTGTTAGATTTGCATAAAATGGGTATTGATTCGATGCAGCTCGTCACGGGGAGTCTAATGGTGGTCTTTGTTTTGCGCTACAAGGTCGAGAATTGCTAAAAATTGAGTTTGAAAATTTAACGTCATCAATTTTTGAACAGTTTTTTCGCTTTAACTTGGCAAAAAAGAGGTATCGATCTCAAATTTGGTGTGTAGATAGGTATAGGCGGTAGGGACTATCACATATATTCCGTTTTTTTTTCGAAAGTCATTTTTTTATTTTTCGGCTATTATATTAAAAAGATCTAGTTTTTTTATTTTTGGGGGTCAAAATAAAAAAAAATTCAAAAATCAGACATAACATTTTTGTAGCCGTCCTAATTTTGCACTTTTTATGTCTGAAATATTTTTCTGTATCTCTAAAGCTGTAGGCCTGACAGCTCTTCCCGCAAAACCTTTTTTTTTGGGTCGAAAATGGCAGAAATGACTTCACTCTGACGTCATTAGCGGCCAACCTATCATAGCCTTTGGAAAATGTTTGGTCACAAGGTGCAATAGCTATTCACGTGAGGGTACTGAAGGTTTGGTGACGATCGGCGCAGCGGCTCTGGAGATATATCGAAAAACTAAAGGGGGGCAAAAAATGCCCCCCCCCCCCCACCACCGCCTGGAAGGTTAAGGCCTGCCTGGAAAAGATAGTTAAGTCAAAATTCAATTGAAAACAGCCATTTTTCACGACGGGCTAGGCGAATGCACGTAGTTTGACCAAATCTGTACCAAACCTCTTTTAAATAAATTCGTATCATGGAATTATTTCAGTGTTTTAATCGAAAATAATGTCTGGTAATTAGAAAAAAATGAGGTATTAAGAAATGAGGCATCTGCGCAAATGAGGCATCTTTGCAGCCCAAACTACCTAATAAGAAACACACTGAACCTAATTTTGACCAAATCTGCACAATATCTGCACCTGATCGGCACCAAATGTGTACCAGATAGCCGTCGTGAAAACGGCTATTACGGGACTATAAATATCTGCAAAACCAAGAATCAAGCGCCACTATGGAGTCAGAAGATAGCCTCGATGCAAGTATAGGTCCTGGATATTCTCTGACACTAGTTTCGCTCAGCAAACCCGTCCGTTTCTCACTGCGGAATCCCGATGTGGCGCACTCGGGCAGTGAACGGCTCCTGAGAGAGCCCGAATTCAATCTCACACAGATGGGCCCGCTCCGGGGAGATATTTGCCAATTAATATTTCAGTCGGGCATTATCCACTTCGGAGAACTGCAACGCGTGGTAGATGGCGGGGTAAACGAGAAGAGCTGGATTGGGGAGATGGACTGGGATTGGCTCAGCCGATATTGCTCAATGTGAATAATATTAGATATGATGGTCATACAACTAA